AGAAAAGTGACAAAACATGAAAACATATATAATTTGTGAAAAGTGAAACATTATATAATGTTTTCGACCCAGAAGACTAACAATTTCCGAATATAAACTTCATTTATACTAAACATCTTCAGGGCTAGAGGGCGCAACGCGCCTGGAAGCCCTCCGAATATAAACTTCATTTATACTAAACATCTTCAGGGCTAGAGGGCGCAACGCGCCTGGAGGCCCCACTACTTTTTTTTTTTTTTCTTTAAGGATACCCTTACATTGCGTAGTTAGAAAGAGAATATGATATTGTCATGATTGCTAAAGTTTTAGGCTCCAGAAATGAATATACATCAAACTGAAACAATTGATAAATTGAATGAACTTTTGAGAGGTTCTCAAATAAAAAAATTATCTAATTTTTTACAATATTACTATTATTTTATCCACATATGTATATATAGTAATTTGAGAAAACTTTTAGGAAAAAATAAGTTTAATAAAAATCTGAATTTTACTTGTTGTGGGATTGTTATTAATTGACACTCCAGACGTATTACTAATAGTTATGCGTATGCAATTAAAGTATTTCTGATGGACAAAATGTGAGATTTATATCAGATAATTCATTTCTACTATTAAGTTATTCATTTATGAGTTTGCACTTAGTCGCACTAAATAAATAACTATTAAAAATTGTTTTAATTAATTGACACCATATAATAGAGTGAATTTTGTTTGATCAAACAACAATAGATGATAGATATAAAGCCAAGAAACTTGCTATTAATATGTTCTACTTGCTATTTCAATGTAAGTATGATATTTTCTAAATGTTTCGTTCAGATAACTTAGATATATTAGTCAAAATTTGAAATTTTAATAGCACATATATTAAAAATAATTATTATTCATAAAAGATTAATGAAATAGTAAAAAAATCAATCAAATTATAAAAATACAACATTTAGAAGAATTCTTATTATCCTTCAAAAAGTCAGTATTTCTGCTGTAATTTTCTACAACATTGTAGTTATTGCACTTTGTCTATGGATTTGTATATATGTTATATATAAATTATATATCTAAACTGCCCATAAGTGCAATTTTTATATAAATTGTTTATTTCTTTAACAATTTCATATGAAATATGCTTTTTTAAGCGTATCAAAGCTGTGTTCTTAATGTGCATGGATATATCAAGAAAAATGTCGAAAAAAAATGTGAATTCACAAATTCACTGAATTTTCACCGTTTTTTGAATTTTGCTACAGCACTAATATTAAATAATACTAAAATATTCTGTCTTTGTAAAAGAATAAATTCTGACAAAAAGTGCTCGTTTAAATTTAATGATCATCTGTATGACTAAGTGGTAAAAAGTGTTTATGACCAAAAAAGGGTTACATGCTTAGTCTATTTTTCTGACAGGATACTCTAGATTTACATGATCTCTATTTCATATCTCCGTTTTTAGATTCTTCGACAGATTTTATGATAGATAACCAAGATTAACAAATTTCCGGCATGTTAATGAAGAAATCTGCAGCTACCCTCAATATTATTTCAATAATCAGTATCGTTTCTCTTACAATTTATTTTTTTCTCAATAATTTAACAAGAAATAACAATACACACTTGGTTTTACGTATAAAAGCTAAGTGTCGAACTTAATCAACTTTACTACTTAGCAAATGAATATTTTTGTGTTGCGAGTTCTGAATGCTGAAGTTTTAGATTTCTCTATAAATGATATCATTGCACTTACAATGTTGTTTCCAGCCTATCGCATAAATCATAGAAAATCCAAAAAAAAATAATAATAAGAAAAAATTCATGTCATGAAGTTCAAAAAATACGCGCGTAACATTAAAATTTGTTATGCATAATACATTTTAGCTATTATTGATTTTTTTTAATTTTCGAGAAATTGAATGGTGAGTCCGATAGAGAAATTTTTAAAAATCCTAGTGCCTCATAGAAGTAATTTCCCTCGTCTCCCATACTTCCAAATGTATGCATATGACATAAACTTTTATGCATTACACAAGTGGCCAATAATATCTATAGAGTAAAAAATTAGAAAATTTATTTTTTTATATGATAGTTATATTTCAGATTTGCGAGCGTAACTTTTTTCTCCATGGCATACTTGTTTTAAGAGCAAATGATCAAAATCGTCCTTCAATTATTGAAGGAGCTGATATCTTTTGAAAATTGAATTGAAAGGGTATTCAATTTTCAAATTTCCTCTCAATTTTGGAAACATATCAACTCTATGAATTAACAATTATGTGCCTTCACAGTTTATCAGTCATATAAGGTGCTTATAAAGAAAAAAGTTCAGCTCGCAAAATATGTTTTTATATAGATTTCACATAAAATAATTATGTAATTTCTAAAAAGAATATTTTTGTTCTTGAATATTAAAGTGTATTGTGGTTTAAAAAGTTTTAAATATGTTGCTAAAATTTCAGGTTTATAGCTCATGTCTAGCATGACTTCTTTGTATGCGCAAAAAATCTGACACGTAAGGGTATCCTTAAAAGAGAAAGAGGAGTAAAAAGAGGAAAGAGAAAAGAAAGAGAGAGAGAAAAAAAAAAGAGAAAGAAAGAAAAAAAAAAAGGACGGCGATAATTTTGTATTGTTTTGTTATTCGGCCCAAAAAATGGCGTATTATTCTATTTTTAAACGGTCATGGCGTAAAACCGTCGCATCCCTAGCATAAACTTTACAAAAATCCAAAAAAATTCGAAAACGAAAAATTCAAGACAAAAAACCTAGAGTATGAGACAGTATCGTTGGACAATGGCCGAAGCATAAGAATTCCCAAAGGTACATTCACTATTTTTGACAAGATTTTAAATTTTCATGGGGTTGTAAATCTTATAATAACTAGATGAATAAGGAATGAATCCCAGTATAATGTGCATCATTATATTAAACACTATATGTAAGGCTAATGATTCTATTAACACTTATGAAGATCTATAGTATTTGAGCAGATAAATTTGATAATTTCCAAAACTCTTATATTTCAAAATTAAAGTGTGCGAATGCATTTAAATGAGAGCAAAAAGAGATTGATGCTGTTAAAACTAGGTGTTAATTTGCATTTATTTCGCATCACAAGAACTACCCAGTAAATTCGGCTATCTTTCTTTGCAATTATTCTCCATTATACATATAATATAATGGTTAGGGTTTGAAGAAAAGTTACTAGAGAATTATTGACTTTTGAAATAATGCAGAATTTTACTTGAAGAAATCATTAATTTATGAGTTCCAAATTGCTAAGCATGACGAAGGATCATTAAATTTGCTACAATTAAATACACTTATTGCAGAATTAAGATTTTTGAAATTAAAAGTTTGAAATATTGCCTTTTTGAATAAAAATTTAAATTTTATTATATAATCATGATAATATCTTATAGAAATTAAAAGAAAATATTTTAAACCATTCAAATATTTTGAATGTCTTATCAATTTAAAATATTAAAAGATAGCTTGATTTTATCATCATTAGTTGTTATCAAAGTTTTCTTCTTTTGATGAACAACAGTAAATGATTTGTTAATTACTTGTCTTCCTTTTTCGCAGCAAAATCGAAAGTTATGATGATAATCTTGCTGTCAATTTTGAAACTCTCTGATTTACAAGTAAGCATTCCTTTGGAAAAGCAGTCCTATTCTGTTTTCAAGATATTTTAAAGCCTCCATTTCATACAATGCGCAGATCTATTCGAAATTGCAAGAACTCTCAAGAAAAATGCAGCAGCAAAGAAGATTCCATAGTTTCTAGCATCAAAAATTTACAACCTTAATACAACAGTGAAAGAGAAGCTCGAAAAGAAAATATTTACCCATAAAGCTGGAAACCATTCGATATCTACTATTGGATCTAATAAAAAGTTAATTATAACATATTTAACATGCTATTTGTTGACTTTGTTCCATTATATTATCATATATATCTTTTTGAAATCTAAAATATTTTTACGATTTTAACCATGTGTTGTTGAAACCATATATCAATCTTAGCTAAAGTATAGTTTATGAGTCTGTCACCATCTAACGTATGAATTTTCAAAAATGTCAAATATGTTCATTTTTTCTGTATATTCAGCCATAATTTCACGTTGTTATACTATTCAACTATTATTTAATATTTTTATCGATTTAAATATATGATGAGATGCTTAGTTCTCCTGGAAATCGATTTTTAATCGCAATTTTAACTTTCCAAAAAAAATTCAAAAATAAAAATCCCTCTCAATTTTCTAAGTTTTATAACTCGCCAAATCTCTAGCCAAATTTTTTTTGCCCGTATAAATATTGTTAGGCACTATATAGGGATGCTATTTATCCTATTTCATCCCATTTTACTGTTATCGCCTAGTGAATGTACCTTTGAATTCCCTAAATTTATAATCCTACATAAAGTTGGGAAAATGGGGGAAAGTTCATTATATCTTTTTTTTATGATAATGATTAATCTTATTTCGTTGGCTATTTAAGGATGCGGCGGATCGTCATATAAGAGTGGCATATGTCCTTTCATGGAGTACATTTTCAATAGATTAAAGATATGTTGCTTTTATTTTGTTTTGCGTTTCTTATTATCAAATTTGCATAGACGTTCATAGATCTACATAGGCTTTTATAGAATTACCATCTATGTATATAGTGTTTAATATGATGATGCAAATATCCATTGAAATTTTATTAAATCTGAAAAAGTACATTGAGTTATTAAATAATTTATTACCCCATCAATGTATACATTTATTTTTACTAGAAATGAACGATAAAAATTGTTATTTCCTATCTATTGCAGGAGAATTTTCAATTCGAAAAGTTTTGATTGATAAAATGCACTTACTTTGATTGTTGCAATCACAATTTAATCAATAGATTAAGAATTTCCAGTCCCATAAAGTCAAACTTGTCAAATTTGACAGTAAAATCTTATTGTAAACTTTTTAAAAAATCGGATCTGTAGAATTAAAAAAAAATATTAAAATGGGTTGCTGTGCCAATTGCACGCTATTTATTATTTCTTTCATAGCAACAGGTTTCATTGTAGCCACTAGTGCCTTGTGCCTTTATGTAATTAACAAGAATGACTTAAGTTCAATTGCTCCAACAAAAACGTTCCTTATTTCATCAATTGTAGTGTTTGGTGTTTCAGTTTTCATTCTTGCTTTCTCAATCTATGCCTCAATTTCAAAGAGAAGATGCCCAGCCTTCTTCTTAGGACTTTTCTTGCTCTTTTATGCTCTTTTCATCATTGGTATGATTGTTATTTATGTTGTATTTTATTCAAAACTGTTTGATGAATTAGGTAACCAATGGAACAAGCACAGAGGAGATGGAACACCAATTGGAAACGCCATCGACAACTACGAGAAAGATCATCACTGTTCATACTGGAATGAATCATCAGGCTCTTGCAAGCCTTTGGTCCAAAAGCTCATGAAAAAGGTTTCAATTTATTATTACTCAATTTTGGGATCTGTCGCATTATTCTTACTTATCGCCGTAATCATTGCATTCTGGAAGACTTGCCACAAAGAAGAAACTACAAGTGATAAACAAAACCCACTTTTGGAACAACCTTTGTCATATGGCTGGTAAATACCACTTATGTGAGTAAACGTATCTTATTATTTGCATATTTTTAATAATTTCCCATTATTTTTACCCATTTATTACAGCTAAATTTTTTCAAAAAATTTTTACATTCCAAATCTATAGTGAACTCTAAAAACTTTTGATATCTAGCATAAATAAATTTAGAAAATGAAATGATTTTAGCTAACCTTGAATAAGATCTGAATAAAAATATATCTTCCATGCAAGATTACAAAAGATATTTTAGATATTATTCTGTATAATAGCGCCTATGCAAAATCTTACTTGCTTCTGGCGAAACTCATATCTGATAATAATAATATGAAAGATGTCATGAATATTCTTATTGTTTCAAGATATTAAGAACAGAATTTACCCATAAATAACTTTATGAATCTCCAATTTTCGTTTTTAGGAGGAAATCCAAATATCATGAATGAATGGATTTGAAATATGAAGAATGCATTTTTTATGCAATTATTTCGCATAACATTGATTTCATTACATTCTTGGTGAATGATCACTAATTAAAGATTGAATTATATTATTGTGCATTGTATAATTAAGCATGGTTCATTTTTAATTTATTTAGATCAAACTAATGATTTTAGCAAATGTTTTGTTTATTCTCCTATGTTTGATATTCCATCCCTTTGCGAATATTTCCTTTCTTTTGGTGCAGATATCAATGAGAAATGGGAAAATGGATGAACGCCTCTTCATTATGCAGCAATTAAAAATATTAAAGAAGTTACTGAACTCTTTCTTTTGCATGGAGAAAATCGGCTGAATACCTCTTGAGTTAATCTTAGAAGCATAAATTGCTATGTTCCGCTGCACTGCTCCAATCAAGGTATGCATGATAAAATTCAAAGGGAGATTAGGGGCTTTAAAATGGCCTTAATTTTTGTAATTTTATGGTTAAAGAGTATCCCAACCTTTAAAAAAATCAATTCTTTAATCAAGCTTATAGTATCGACTTCTTCCTTCAAAAAAGGAGGGAAAAAAAGACAATTTTGTTAAATTTCGCCAACCCTAAAAAAATTTTGAAAATACTGTAATCAAGCTTCCACATTTCTCTTGCTTCGACTTCTTCCTTCAAAAAAGGAGGGAAAAAAGGACATTATACGTTTTAAAAATACAAATTTTGTTAAATTCCGCCAACCCTAAAAATATTTTGAAAATACTGTAATCAAGCTTCCACATTTCTCTTGCTTCGACTTCTTCCTTCAAAAAAGGAGGAAAAAAAAGGACATTATGCGTTTTTAAAAAGACAATTTTGTTAAATTTCGCCAACCCTAAAAATATTTTGAAAAAAATAAAAATAATTAATATAAATTCTTTAATCAAGCTTCCACATTTCTCTTGCTTCGACTTCTTCCTTCAAAATGAAATCTTTATCTAAAACTCTGACAGAAAGTTCTCCACAGATTGGGCAAGATCTAGATATGTATTCTGAGAGTAGTTTATTAGCCGATTCTGACTTTGCAGCCTTGGATGTCAATGAAATTAAGTTCAACATCTCAGGAGCAGTGTAAAAGAGGTTCATATTTGAAAGCAAGCACTTTATATGGACAGTATGATAGCATGGGAATACCAAGAACCTGTCTTTGTAAATCGATTGTTTGCATAAAGCGCATTGTTGTAATGGATCGAGTTCTACACGTAGTTGTGTTCCGCGCGATATAAGTTCTCTTTGTGATGATGCTCTGTTGATAAATTGGTCGATACGATGTACTGCGGCTGAGTTATCTGTCTGATATTCTTTAATTGCGTTAAGAATTGTTGACTGGAAGCTATCAATACTCATATTCTCAGGCATAATTGGGAATATATCATCTAATGTCAATACGCAGCTTGTAACTGCTGTTTCAAGTAGAGTTCTCCAGCCATCTGACTCATCCGATGCATTGTCCTTCTTCTTCATGTTGGAAGTGGTCTCCAAAGCCCTCAGCCAGCACTCGCGACGGTCTTCGGCATCGTTAAGAAGTGATGTCAAAAGATCCAAAACTGGTCTGATGGATTTCTCCTTGTTTGCAGCGATAACTGAGTACGTGACTGCAAGGTAATGACGATCGAAGAGGTGGGCGCAGAACTGGGAAGCTAATGTTTCCATTCCGCGGCGCTTTAACCAGCGAAGTAAGAAATCGTGAGGTAATTTGAGCCATTGAGAGTTCTTGTAGTAATCTTCCATCTTCTGTTGGTCGTTAGTACGTGCGAGAAGTATGTAATAGAGATTCCTTTGAGCATTTGAGTGAGTTCCGCCATCTTTGCCTCTCGTGTACATTTTCTCCATAATTGGTTGAAGGAGATTGACTGCTTCCATGTCCATGGGCTCAGCAAAGATGATATCGCAAATGGCCGGGAAAATTGGATCGCAAGTTGGTCTACGGTTAAATGTACGCCAATTGCGCATAATAAACTTCATGAATGAAAGTGGGAATGATTTGAATAGGATTTGTTGCTCGTTAAGTGGTATGTTGCAGATCAAATTCATTAATCTGTTGAATTCGTCAATTGTAATGGCTGCGTAGTTGCAATACTCGAAATAAAGTCTGAGGTATTCTGTGTAATCACCAAAAATCAAGTAACACTCACGTAGAAGTGTCAAAAAGTTGCATTCGCGAATACTTTTATATAAAACTCTTTTTTCGATGAAATCTTTGTTTTGCTTGACAAAGTCAATGAATTTGGCAATTAATGGCTCGCGGTCGGCTGGTGATAAAACTAGATATTGAGGTAATAAAATATTGACGTAAAGATTGCAAATTACTTTCTTTCTTGGAGCGTCACTCATGTACACTTCCTTAATGAGTAAGTTGAAGTACTCAATAAGTGCTTCTGGACAGTTTGACAGGTATAAATAACTTTGATTGAAAGGAACGCCTGAGTTTAGAAGCTGGCGAGCAGCATTACCATACTGACCGGTGGCAAGGAACTCCTGGATCAGTGGGCATTTGAAATTGCCGACTCTCTGAGGGATCAGGAGATTTCTTTTCAGCATTTTATCTTCCCCCTGTCGTTTGTTTATTTCATTGCCGATGCAGCCCCTCAAAATTTTCTTATTGTTTTTTACATCTATATTTTCAAGAATAATCTGTCTATTCAACTAAGTAATTAGATTTTAAATGAAATTATATCATAGAACGAAAATAGATTTTGAAGATTATAAGAGCAGAAAAAATCTCATTACTTCTTCAATATCCAATCGAACTAGAAATAAACAAATTTTTAAGATTATTTTCAAATTATTAAACAAACAAAGAAAGAATTAATTAAATACAAATTAAATCGGACTTCTTACAAAGTTAGTTGAGAGTTCTTTAATAATTTATATTGTGATAATATTATATCTCAACAACTACATACAACATAAATTAGAGATATTAAGGGTGCCCTATAACGATAATGTAAACATCACAAAATTAACCTTATTAGAACTCGAATGAATGGATTATCCAGATTCTAGTTCTCAATATAATAGCCTTAAAAGTGCTTTTCTGAGGGTGGTTTATCGTCTATAGGGCACCCTTAATCAACCCAAATATTAGAATTTTTTTTCCTTCGATAATACCAGAAAAATAAAATATATAGGTACGGGAAAAAGGTGTATTCGCCCCCCAAAATTAGGGAAGGAAAAGTTTTTTTGGAACTATGATTATACCAATAATATTCATATTTTATACATATCTTTATTATTTACTGACCAAATAAAAATTTATATGTACGTTAAAAGACGATAAAATTTTTTATTTTTGAAATATAAAATTCGATTTTCTCAAGAACCAACAAAGAAACATTCACAAAATTTTAATAATAATATAAGTATAATATTTACTATTTATTGGTGTTATTATCTTTTTCTAAAAACTTTCACTTCCCCTATTTTGGGGGGCGAATACACCTTTTTCCCGCGAATACACCTTTTTCCCGTACCTATATATCTCATAACATTATTTTTTGACACCGTCTGAAATAAGAAATTCTGCAATATTAAGTGCGGTTTTTCCATATTTAGCTTTTTCTTTGATATTTGCACCATGTGAAATAAGATAATAAATTTCAAGATAAAGTACAAATTTTTAGCAAATTGAATGTTTTTACTGGCTTTTATTTAAAAGTTATTCAGTTAACCCAAGATTTACTGCTCAATTCCATGATTTTTAACCCAATATGATTAAGATTTTGGATTTTATCTGATTTTGTGCTAAATTTCTACAAGACTGATTCTAACATATCTAATGCGATGGGTAGTTATCCTTCAAAAGTTTAGTTCTCATTATTTAACTCAAAAGACAAATCTCTGCTCATTGACTCAATTCACGTGATTTTGTGCTCATATTTAATGAAAAATGAACAACATGTTTTATCTACATAACAGTATCATCACATTTCTTATTGAGAAGTTCATTACATGTCTAACTAATCTTGCTAAGATGCTTTCTGAATTTTACATACTTTCAGACAATCTTTTTGGGTTTTCCCAATGCAAATTAATTTTCTTTATGATACGCAAGCAGGATCCGCACCTACCTTCAAGGTTTGCCTTGAAATTTATAAGATGATATTTGAATATGATATTCAGAGCACAGAATTCCTTTCTTAATGGATTAATGGTATCAGGAAAATATTAGTCCAGGATATTTGGATTGATCAATCGAATTTTGTAGGAATGCTACATATTACAAATATATTTGCATAAAAAATTTTCAACGAGTTCATCAATATACTTCAGAATCCTTCCAATTAAGTCCATTTGTTGCTATTATTAATTATTTGTTATATCTATTTAGAGTTAATACACTGTTTTTGCCTAATGTTTTAATCATAAATAACTCAAAGATTTCGATAATGAATGGATTCTCACATGAATTCATCTCAGTACTGTAGGAAAAGTCTTTTATTTGAGAAGTTGGAAAATTCACAGATTTGATTGCTAATGTATTAATTGATACAATTATTAAAATACGTGGATAGAAATATGATTAAGTAAAAAAATTGAAGATTTCATTTAATAATAAGTCAACTTGTTTCAATACAGAGAAAACGTTGATTTGAATTTTCCTGAAAATGAATATGGAATCTATTTTTCAATCAAAATATATTTTAAATGATTGTTTGGCAATTGTTTCTTTTATCAACAAGGACAAATGAGACTTCCCCGAAAGAATCAAGGCACTTGAACAGTATTTTGGTGATTTATAAGATTTCTTCATATCAAAGATATTTTTTATTTAAGGATAAGCACCTTATATGACTGATAAACTGTGAAGGCACATAATTGTTAATTCATAGAGTTGATATGTTTCCAAAATTGAGAGGAAATTTGAAAATTGAATACCCTTTCAATTCAATTTTCAAAAGATATCAGCTCCTTCAATAATTGAAGGACGATTTTGATCATTTGCTCTTAAAACAAGTATGCCATGGAGAAAAAAGTTACGCTCGCAAATCTGAAATATAACTATCATATAAAAAAATTAAATTTCTAATTTTTTACTCTATAGATATTATTGGCCACTTGTGTAATGCATAAAAGTTTATGTCATATGCATACATTTGGAAGTATGGGAGACGAGGGAAATTACTTCTATGAGGCACTAGGATTTTTAAAAATTTCTCTATCGGACTCACCATTCAATTTCTCGAAAATTAAAAAAAATCAATAATAGCTAAAATGTATTAATTTATATATAAATATAACATATATACAAATCCATAGACAAAGTGCAATAACTACAATGTTGTAGAAAATTACAGCAGAAATACTGACTTTTTGAAGGATAATAAGAATTCTTCTAAAAATACTGAAAATTAACATATTTCTGTACTCAATTTAGAAGTTATGATTTGGTGTTAGGTTTTTATGCCCCAAAATCTAGATTTTTGTGACATCAAATCTTATTAGTGGATAAATCAAAGACTGTCATTTTGAAATAAGCTCATATCAATAAATATCCATTTAAAAGCCTTATTGTAATATGTAACTAGCAAAAAGCCTAATATTTATCAAAATTAATCAAATCCTTTATCGCGTGAACCCCTCATATTATTGGAAAATAAATAGCGAAAACATGTAGAGCTGCTATGTTCTCAAGTGTATGCTGATTTTTGGATTATTTCATGAAAACTAATGGCGGGATATCTTGCATTATTTAAAAAAATTGAACTATGCAAAAATAAATAGTATTATATTTTTTCTCATGAAATGCTATTATGAGACAACCATAAAAAACCATATGTTGTATTTTTATAATTTGATTGATTTTTTTTTACTATTTCATTAATCTTTTATGAATAATAATTATTTTTAATATATGTGCTATTAAAATTTCAAATTTTGACTAATATATCTAAGTTATCTGAACGAAACATTTAGAAAATATCATACTTACATTGAAATAGCAAGTAGAGCATATTAATAGCAAGTTTCTTGGCTTTATATCTATCATCTATTGTTGTTTGATCAAACAAAATTCACTCTATTATATGGTGTCAATTAATTAAAACAATTTTAATAGTTATTTATTTAGTGCGAATAAGTGCAAACTCATAAATGAATAACTTAATAGTAGAAATGAATTATCTGATATAAATCTCACATTTTGTCCATCAGAAATACTTTAATTGCATACGCATAACTATTAGTAATACGTCTGGAGTGTCAATTAATAACAATCCCACAACAAGTAAAATTCAGATTTTTATTAAACTTATTTTTTCCTAAAAGTTTTCTCAAATTACTATATATACATATGTGGATAAAATAATAGTAATATTGTAAAAAATTAGATAATTTTTTTATTTGAGAACCTCTCAAAAGTTCATTCAATTTATCAATTGTTTCAGTTTGATGTATATTCATTTCTGGAGCCTAAAACTTTAGCAATCATGACAATATATTCATCGTTATGGTCAATTAAATCATGATCTTATTAAATTTGGATCTTTTAATAATAATATAAAATATGAACATCGAAGTTATATTCAAACTATTTCAATGTGTTGTTTTATTCATGCATTATAATATATTCAATCCCCAAATTCACTTTTGATTATCAATTAAATATAAGTGATTCTATTTTTAGAATAGAACGTTTTAATGTCTATCCCGATTAATCGGGATAAAATTGAATGAGTTGATCCCAATTTCCCGATCAATCCCGATGCCAAAAGATAAGTCGTATTATCCTGATCAGAACGATAGAATAAGGTTTCCTCCGAATTCTGATCTTACTTTTATTTTCTGAATTTTAAACAGCTTTTTATACTCTAGAAAATCAACCTAACACAGATTCATGGAATTTTTACTTTTCTCGGAGTCATATCACAAGTAATGGAGGAACAATTAGTGGAAATGTTGCTGTTTCCAGTTGTCTTTTCGAAAAACTCGAATCGAGTGCAATCATATGTAGTCAGAGTGGTTCCAATATCCTTATTGAATCATGTAAATTTAATCAAATTAGTTCGCCAATGTGTGGTGCATCAATTTCAATTGATTGTGATAGTTGTTTAATTATTTTAAATAAAATATGTATAATTGATTCTATGTCACTTCAAGGAGGAAATGCATATTATATCGGAGGTTCAACATGCAGAGGCTGTCTTATTTCTGTAACGCAATGCAATAGACAAATTGGATATCATACTGTTTGGACAGAAAATGGACGTCCTTCATTTTACCATATAAATATTTCTAATAGTGCAGGATATTGTATCGGTACTAGAATTGATTCAATATCATCAAATTCTGATGTGATTAAATTTGGAGCTTTTGTTGAGAATATTAATAGTAATAGTAATTCTTACATACATTATCATCTATTCTATATTCAAAGCATTTCAATGTGTAATTATATTCAAACAACTTGCTATGGTTTAGTAATCAGAAATGGTTATCAATTAAATATTAATGATTCTATTTTTAGAATTCAAAATCATGGGTCAGAGGTACTAGATGGTGCATTTCTCATAAATTGTAACATAAACGGGCAAATATTTAATTATGATATTCATAATCATGATGATTCAAATTGGGACCAGATTTTCAAAAATGAGATCGATGAATGTGTTGAACAATATTAGAATAGGCGTCTTTACCTTTCCATTTCGCATTTGGCTTTTTTTTCTGTATGTGTATGAAAGCATTTTTGACAAAGGGCATTGAATTTGGATTCAAGTAATGAATACTATAAAGTGGTGTTTGAGATGTAAGTCCATAAATTAATAATGATGTGTTCCAAGATCTATCAAATTTGTGATCAATATATACTTCAAACATTCCCGGATAATATGATCATCATACACAAATAATTGAGATACTATTTCCTGTTTCATTAAGTTCAATCTTATCAAAACATTTTGAGTCTTGATTCTTATTTTAAGTCGTATCATAATATTCCAGTTTTGAATCTAATTTTTGAATTCCTATTAAGAGAAACTCAGAGTCATTAAAGAAACAATTATAAACTTGAATGAAGAAGTTCTTATTGGGAAGTAACATTCTCCACTAACTGGAATTGGATATTTGTTCAATTATCTTACTATTAAAATCTTGGGTTCATCACATTCAATTTTGAATTGCTTATAAACTCTCTTTACAATCCCCATCCCCAATTTCATTTCTTCATGGATCTCAATAACAAAAAATGCTGCATGTGTTCTAACAAATGAAACTAAGTAAATTAGTAAAGACGATACAATACTGTCATCTTTTCTTTGTAGAAAACACGTTAAATCATTACCTGAATAAAGATCCCACTAACACCATGTAGAAATGTACTACACCATTATGTTTGATAGCAAATTTGGAGTCTTCTGACGGCACGATGAATGTTTGAACTTCTGTAAAGTCAACAAAAAGATGGCCAGATAATTTTGATAATTCTTTTTCCCATTCTTGTTCAATTGATAATTTCTAATGACATCTCTAATGTTAATGTCGAGTTTATCATTGAGTAAATCGTAAGTAACTGTAATTTCAATGTGTTCACCATATTGTCAACCGAATTTCTTGTTATTTATAAAATATGATAATTCGTTTTTCTAACCATACTATTATTGATACCTGTTGTATGTTTTGATAATTTATTATAGTTTTGGTCAATGATTCTTTATTATGGAATCAAAATATAGTAGGATTTCCTCATTTGCTTAAATTATTTGATATTTCATATTTTACATATGGTACTAAATACAATTATATTCAAAGAACGAAAAAAGCCGAATAGCTTAATGGAAAGTAACCGCTATTTGAAAAATGTCATCGCCCCTCGCAAATGACGAGAGCAGGGACCTAATTGAAAACCTGAGAAGTGAAGTATTAAATGAGCGCCTTAATGCTGTCCAGTCACTAAAAATTATTTCAAAAACATTAGGCCCAGAAAGATCTCGCTCAGAATTACTACCGTATATTGCCGAAACAATCGACAACACCGAGGAGGTTTGGATGCGTGTTGCAGAGCAGCTACCTCAAATTCTTGAAGAAATTGGTGGATCTCAGCATGTCTCTGTAATTCTTACATTACTCAAGCAAATCTGCGAAATTGAAGATGCCAAAGTCCAAGAAACAGCTACGAAATCTTTTATCTCGTTATCTCACAAGGCTACTCCGGAAGAACTTTCAGAATTTTTCTTCCCAGTTCTTAAAGAGATGTGCGAAGACACATGGCACCCACTCAGATCAGCCGCAGCTACAATATTAGGCGCAACATTTTCGTTATATCCCGATTCTCTTCATAAAAAACTCGGATTATTCTTCCCATCAATTTCTGTCGATCAAATGACAATTGTCCGCAGATCATTAGCTACAGCACTTCCTATATTTATTACAACAGCGCAAACTCAAGAACAATTCGATATTATCGAAAGATTAATCACAACATTATCCGACGATCTCTCTCATGCAGTCCTTATCGAACTCCCACTCGCTCTGTCATTTTTACCACCAACAATGTCAGAATTAAAAATTAATTCTACGAAAAGGATCTTTGCAAGCCCTCGCTGGCAGGCACGTGCAGTTTTAGCTGATTCTCTTGCTAAAATTTTCATTGATGGACCACCTCCAGCTGACGTTGTCAAAGGAATTGCAGATCCAGCATCAATCGACGCAGCAGTAGAGGTTCGCGCATCAATAGCACGTTCGTTACCATTTATTTACGACTCTGGTGCATATTCTCTTGATGAATTTGCCAAATTCGCAACAGCAATCGCATCAGATAAAAATACTTCAGTTAGATCAGCCGTAGCCAAGAGTATTGGTGATATTAGCGGTGCCCCTGAATCCCTGTGCTCTCCATTGCTCTCTTTACTCCTCGAAGACGGTGATAATAACGTCAAATTAGCTGCATTGACATCTGTTGCCAAAACAGGCTATGCAGTTAGTGCTGCTGCCAAACATATCGGAAACCTTATTAAATTCAGTCCTTGGAGGACACAGCTCCCAATTCCAGGCATAATTCCCGAAATTGCACGAACAACAGACGTCCAGTACTTCACTGACAACTTCATACCTCTCGTCATAAAGCTCATGACAAACGAGAGCTCCGACGTCAGGAAGAACATGGTGAAAGCTCTGCCGCTGATTTCGGAAATTTACGGCCAAGACTGGAAAATTACAACATTCGCGCCTCTCTTCGAGCAGACATTCGATACAAAGGACTACCAGGTAAGACAGACAGTCATTCAGGCAATTTTCGCTCTGAAAATTGTAGATAGATGCTCCGGAGTCATCGAAAAGGCAATTTTGGACCCTGTTTCGAATGTAAGGATCGTGTTGGCCAGAGAGGCAAGCGCAGCAAAGACCGTCCATATTACCGAAAGACTGATGAAGGATTCTGATAATGATGTTGCTTATTATGCTGGAAAGCGTGAATAAAATTTCTTTTTTGATATGATTTTTTATAAATTAATATTCTTTTTTAAGTTTTTCTGTTTAAATTTTAGATAATTTTTTCTTATTTTACTTATTTTACTTATAACTTGGTACTCATTTACTATGCTTTTGATTATTCACATATATTCATTCTGTATTGATTCTAATTGAAAAAAATAACATATTTCTTTTAAATATACACTAAATATAGCTTCATTTATATAAAAAAACTATATATTTAAACGAAAATGCAACTAATTGACTTAGTGTTCAATTAATATTGTATTAAATAAACAATAAACACTAAATTTAAATTCAATTAACTAAACAAAGTGTAAATTGGTTTGATATAGACAGATTAATAGCGACTTGTTTGAGAGTACTAGTTGATGGATTTCTCATTTGAGTGATCTCTCAGTGCAATATGCAGTTAAAATGATGTTGATTTTTACTATTCCTATAAGCATTCTTCTTTCTTGATATAGGTATGTTTTCATACGGTATAAATATACATTAATCCATATAGGTACATATTTCCATAGGAAATTTCTATTTATAACTATTAGATAAAAAGATTGCCGCACTAATAACAATCATGTAAATTGAAAGTCTTCTCAAAATTGAGAAGGATCCTCTACAAAGAATTAAAATGCATCAAAATTTCTCACACAGTTTTATAAATTTAAATGTGTAAAATTATGAAATTTTCCATATTTTCGTCATAACCGCAGTTGAAATTTTGTAATGTCAGGAGTTCGCTCGAATTCGTTTTCTTCTCAGTCATTTGAAGACTGGCGGGACATAAATTTCGACATCGTGCAGCATCTTGACTTTTTTCAGCAACCGAAATCTTCAAGTGCGACATTATTGAGGCAATTTCAAGTAAAAAAGGCAGCCATGCATCAACGCGCGTTAGAATCTCTAAAAAACTATAATATAAGCGTTGACCAAGCAGAAACTGCAGCAGAAAAGCTAAAACAGCAAATTGAAGCAAATCCACCTGTCACTCAGACTAGTATTGATTTTGATAACAACAACGATATAATGAAATTACGACAATTACAGTTCTTGAAGAAATACGCTTGGAAAAATCAATTAAAGCAACAACAAAAAATTATAATGTTTTTTGCAACGAAAAAAGCACAAATACAGCGACTAACACAATTCCTTCTTGGAAAGTCTGTTCCATCCCTTCTTGCTATTAAAATTAAAGACTCCTTTTACGAAATGGACCCTGGCGAAAATAAATATCAGAAACGAAACGAAATAATACACACAAAAATTAAACTAATGAAACAGGAATTAAGTAAAGTACCTTATCCTCTCTGGGTTACGAATTTCGAAGAATTTTTCTCAAAACTTGTAAATCAAGCAGCTCAAGTCATAGATCCGGAATTATTCTATTTCGGATTCATACCAGATGAGATAAACATATCCCGCTACTTATTTTCTTCGAATTCTAAGAACGGACGCGCAATAGATTATTTTATCGCATTAAACTCACAGAATTCATTTTCCGAGTTCTCAGATAAAATCATTGAATTCTGTGCCGCTCTAGTACCTCAGCAAGCTTGTACTACGCCTAAAGATCAGTCGATATCTTTATTACTCTTCTTCAGAGCGATCATGGATAGAGTTTACGAGACCAATACAGCTTTATTTAGTACCAGCGAATTTTACGCCAAATACCCAGAAATACATTCTACGAAAATGTCAGGAATGACATTGCCAAAAGGGATGTCTCCTCCAGGCGATATGGAAGAATCAGCCAGGGAGTGCTTCTTGAGGGCTCCGTTGTATAGAAAGGCCTCGGAGACTTTTCTTTTGTCATTTTTCACCGTTAATCCGATTGACGGCTTATATTATATACATGTAACGATGTCTGATATCCATCGCGCTGCTATATCAGCACTGGTTGGTCATGAACCAACTCCGGATGAATTAAAACAGATTCTCGGGTTCGATGACTTATTTAGCCTGTTTTTCGGCGTTCTACTGGCTTCGGATTGCCCGGATCCGTTCCAGGTGCATTCTATGATGAAGACGTTCGCGCCGAAATCCTGTTTATCTCCTATGTTTGAATACGCAAATGCAAATTTAGAAGCGTTAGTTTTGCATTGCGGAAAGTTATGTGCTTGAAATCTATATATTATATTATTAAAATAATGTACGTATTTATTATTTTCTCTCAAAATTCAAAAAATAATTTTTTATTTTTCAGTTTTCATCTTAAAATAATCATCCTTTCTGATATAAAACTAATACTAACTCTCAAATTGAGTTCAGAGAAACTTAATAAGAAAATAAAATCGAAGTTAGATTTTATTACTTTAAATCAAAGTTTACTATATTGACAAAATTAATATTTTGGAATTCGAGGTTCTTGGCCATAATTTCTCCAAAAGAAATCTCAAATGATAATTTTTCATTAAATTTAGATCAGATTTATCATTTGATATTTGTATTTTGATTTAATTTTGCTCAGAACAAACGAATTCGAAAAACTTTTAATAAAGAAAGAAAATTTGTAAAAAAAAAATCAAACTTAAAATTTACTCGAGGTTAATCTTGATCTCGCGCTTCTTTGTTTTTGGAATTGTGATTGTTAAGAGGCCTTCGTTGAGAGCAGCGGAGATTTTTTCAGCATCACCGTCCTTTGGAATGCTCCATCTGCTTTCAATCTTACCATAGAGGCGGCCTGTATCGATTTTTCTGTAGTCTTTGTTTGGTGCCTTCTTCTCTGCCTTAACTGAAATAATATTTTCTGCAATGTCGATGTTGACATCCTTCTTGGCAATGCCAGGAAGTTCGATGTTGATAAGATAGTTTGCAGCACCCTCAAATGAGTCAGAAGGAACTGTGATTGGAACTGAATTGCTCATTCTAATTCAAATGTCACCTTTTTGATTTTATCAAATTTTGTCACTTTTATATAATTGGTTTGATCGCATCAAAATACAAGAGCTCAAAAAACGCATGTCACGGTTTCCTATTAGAATCAGATTATGATTTTTCAGAACGATTCTGTGATTTAGCCATAAGTTATTCGTAAATCTTAAAAATTATTTAACTTAATAATGAAAACAGCCTTGGGTCAATAATTTTCTCATCTATGTGGAACATTTAACCTATGAATTTTGAATTCTCTCATTATATAAAAAAATTATTATAATTAAAAACTACAAACATGGTATAATAATTTATTCAACAACTTCTACAGGTTTTTCCTGTACATTTTCTTTCATATCAACTATTTCTTCCTCTTCATCAATAATTTCTTCTTCATTTTGGTCTTCAACGGCTTGTTCTTCTTCATCTTCATTATTTTCTTCAACAACCTCTTGTTTTGCCTCTTCTTCTTCGTTTTTAGGCAGAATAGTTTCTTCATTATCAAGATCATATTTTCTTCTATGATGATGTCTTCTTTTCTTTGTTTGGACTGTTTCTGGTTGTTCTTGTTGTTCATTTTGTTCTGTTTCTATGTTCTCTTCAGTCTTTATTTCAACGGGTTCATCATCAGAAACTTTAAGGTTTGGCACTTTTTGATCTTCATTGACCAAATTTTCCAAAGCTATCGTTGCTGGCAAATTTTGCGCTTTCTCTTGAACGTCGCCACCAGCTGTCAATTGTCCTAGATTCTGCATTGCCATCATTATTTGTTTCTCTATGAAGTTAACCCTCTGTTCCACTTCCTGATTGAATTTTTCTTCTTCATTGGAAATGTCACTTTTATTCGCCATCTTTTCTCTGTCTAAATTTTGCAAATTATCGATATCTTTTGTGAACATCTCCAAGGAGTCAACAGTCATAGATCTAGCCTCGTTAATGTAATGTCTTGTATCATCAATTGAGCGATTCAGAGAGTTCAAAGAGTCATTTATTTGTTGTCTCAGGAGATTCATCTTGTTTTCAAGACTTTCAAGGTTTGATTCGATTCTATCCATATCAATCTTCTTGGCTTTGATGTATTGGATGTTTACATCGGCTGGTTGCATCAATCTTGTTCTATGATCTTGACTATTCTTTACGCAATCGCGAAGCATGACTTGGATATGGCTTTCCTGTAATTCTCGCTCTTTAATAACTACAGCCTTTAAGTGGTCGAACTTTTCCAGGACCTTTTTGTGATTTTGACTACAAACAGAGCTTTCTATTACAATTGAATCCTCAAGGGAATCTCGCGCTGACTGGCAGTTTGATCTAATCTCCGAAATGGTCGATACAATTTCGTTTGTTACGGATTTCATATTCGAATCTGTTTCGGAAATGACAGTATCGATCTGCCTTGATAAGTCCGCTGATGAGGACTCCGTTTCGCTCTGAGTTTGAGTGATGGCGTCCGATATTGATGATGATAAATCTTCTAATGAATTTTTGAACGCGTCTGTCATGGCTGCAAGAGTATCCTGAATCTCCTTTATACGCTCTGAGGCACGTTTATTCACTTCTTCGGCTTGTAAGTGGATTGTTGCTGCTGCTTGGTCGCGAACTGAACTTTCTTCTCTGATGCTGGCCGCAAGTTGTGCGGGAGCTGATTTTGTAACTGCTACGATGTTTCTAACGAGTTCTGTAAATGAGTTAGAGGCTGTAGTATCGACAATTTCGAATTCTGTGTTGTATTTCGCAAGTTCTGAAATTATGTTGCCTTCTCTCTTTTCTAGCTTGTTTGCTTTTTGTAGAATTGCATCTAGAACATCTCTAGTTCGACCCATTTCCGCGCGAACGTCTAAAAGACCGTTTTTCGCATTATCTCCAAATTCAGTGATATTATGTTCTAATTGTTGAGATTTTCGTAGTTTATCGTCAAGAGATTCTTTAAGACCATCTGTTAATGAGAAAAAATTTGATGCAGAGGCATTTAATTGCTCTTTATTGTGTCCGGTAAAATCATTAACGTATTTTAAGGCATTTGGTATTTTTCCTGATACTGTTGTGTCTAATATATCATCCAGTTCGGCAATTAGTTGTGAAATGGAAGGGAAAGTCCTGGATCTTAATCTTTCCGCAGTTTCCATTGATTTCACGTAATCTCCTTTCTGTTCATCAATCTGACTTTGTATGCTTGAAATACGGTCTCTAAATGCTCCAGGTTCGATTGCACTCGAATGAATGATTGGACGCGGTAAATCAGGGATTGTATCGATTGCAAATGTTGTAACTTCAAGATTTAGAGGTGCTATCGAAGTTTGAGGCAGATCTGGAAGAGGATCTAAAGGTTGATATGATAAACTTGAAGAAGACCTTGCAGTTCCGTAAGGAACTAGCGCAGTACTTGTCCTATTCGATGGTGGTGATGCTGAAGGCATTCCGCTTGAAGATGGCGAGTTTCGATTTGTATATTGAATTGCTGGCGGATTTAAGCCTGCTCTTTGAGCCTTCTCAGCTATTTGCTGCCGTAAATCAGCTGCGTACTGTTTATCCTGTTGAAGTTTCAACTCCCTGCGCCTTTCAAGTTCAGGGGTGAACATACAACGTACTAAAAAGTGACAAATATTTTGACACTAATTTTTATTGAAAATTTACATGTCAAAAAAAATCTAATACTAAAAAAATATGGGATTAACTAATAGTAAAGCTGAAGAATCAAAAATACTTGACTTATTAATTCCTCGTGTTTTCAGAGCTTGTATTACTGACTTATCAACAGAGCATTTAACTGATAAAGAAAAAGCAAAAATTGATCGTTATGTTTGGACCTTTGCTCAAACATACTTACGTACAAAGGAAAGAGTTGCCGAACAATTTTTACTATCAGATTATTCGGATTTCTTGTATTAAAATATAACTCTACCATGGTAATATAAAAAAATAATTAATAAAAAAGTATGTTTTGTTAGGATAATTTATAATTTTTAGTATGAAAACTAATAATAAACAAATAGCTACTTCGGATTAGAATTTTGCTAGAAATGGAATTGGATAAATTGAAATTAAAATGTTAAATTCGAAGAATAATTATACAAATAAGTTACACTCGTGATTTTCCTGGTTTAAATTCTTCATCTGAAGATGAAGAGGAAGATTCTTGTAAATCTGCTGTTATGAGACCATTTTCGGTAATTTGGCATGCTTGTACTGATTTTTCTCCATTTAGTGGATCTGCTAATGTAAATACGATTTTATCAACAGATGTATCATAGCAAGGAACTAAATTCTCCGTCATTGTCACTTTTATTCTCATAGGATTCTAAGATTATAAATCTATTGCATCAGAGCATAATCATCTGATAAAGGATCATCCTAGCATTAATAACGAATTACGGATTATTAGCACTCTATGTTAAAATGTTATTGAACTTTGAATAATTATCAGCAATGGCTGATTGTTTTCGTGTAAAACGGCCTAATTTTGTATGTAATTGAATTTGATCAAATAGAAATCATTTGACGCTCTTGTAAAATAAATATTTATCTTATACCCTTCATTTCCAGGAATAATTTTTTTTTGCATGACCCCCTGCCCATGGTTCTAAAATAGCATATTTTTCTAAAGCATAGGGACAGAAGACAGCTAGACAATTTTGAATAGCAGAACATCTAGGAGCATAGCTAGGAGATAATAAATGGACAACTTCCTTGCAAATCTGAGAGGGTAACGGGCATGATTATTCAAGATTTGATCATGTCATAACTCACCCAATTTAGATGACACAAGCCTGAAATTTTAGCACTATTATGCTGATAGGCTATTGTGAATAAACAGATCACCGTTTCGAAATTTCAAAAATATTGCAAAATATGATAAGCTCAAAATTATTCAAGCATGTTGAAAAACAGATATTTTATTATATATGGCATAAATTTTCTAAATGTACTTTCTAAATAGAGCAATCTCAAAAAAGATATAATTCGAAATAATATAACTATTCTGAAGTGTATTATTCTTATAAAATGCATTCCAATGAGCACAGAAGCAGGAAAATATAGAATTTAAGCTTATTAGCTAAAAATATATAAAGAAATATGATTTTGTCATTTAACCATTTAATATATGCGTTTAGCAAATTTAAAATTGAATTTATTTCTTATTTAAATAATATTTAATAAGTTAGTTTATAATGAAATAGATAAATTAGAAATCTTTTTTGAATTGCGAATTTTTCAATATAGATTAGATATTATTATGCGTTATATATCAATGTATTAAGATGGAAATTATAATAAATTAAGCAATTTTGATTTGTTCAATGTGGAAAAGAGAAAAATATGATAAATTTGTATGATTGTTATGTTTTTGAGTGTGATCAATGGTTGCATTAATTATATAATGATGGGGAAAACATTACTATGGATGATTTGAAATTTCACTTATTTTTCTAGTTAATTGTCAAAATGGTATCAAAGCACAAGTTAAATAGCATGCAAAGTTGTTTGAATTATGATACCACTGCATATATATTATATTGCATCATGATATAATATTAAAAAATATGCTCTAGTATAAAAAATGATTATTCCAGAGCAAAATGTCATTATATATGAGTTTATCAGATATTACAGTAAACATTATAGTTAAAAATAGCTAATTGTATTCTAATAATTGTAAAAATGGTTTTATAGTTTGAATTATTAAGTGATTCAGCAAATAGAGATATGATTTTCTAAAATAAGATTGTAAAAGAGTATTTATACATATGTGCAGATATATTTTCAAAATATATCTTACAGTGTGCATAAAAAATGATGAGATATTTTATTATCAATATTTTGTTTTAGAAAACTAATAACAAATTTAATCATTTATGTTATTTTTGTGTTATTATCAGTAGAGAGTGAAGATAGCAAACAGCCCTTGGGCTGACAGGCGATTAAATACTATAAAATCGAATTTTTGCTCCACTTCTAGTATAGTACAATGGTTAGGAAACATCCTAGAAAAACTTGTTTTGAGGTTCATTTGCCGAACGGAAAACTTTTTTTGAAAATCTAAATTATCAGAAAAATATATATGATATTTTATGCTTTTTAAAACAGACAATATATAAAGAGTAATAACCATTTAGTGTTATATAAAATATTTAGCTTTTTAAATTATTAAATTTTAATTCGTTAAATTTTGTTCAATTTTAGCATCTCATTTGAACTATAATTATATAATAATTTTAGCATAATTTCATAACATGGTGTTTCTTAATCAAATTGCATCTAAATTAATGAGAAAAATTTTGAAATTTGAAAATTCAGTATCTAATTCAAATATCTATCTAATAGCATTTCTACAATCGCAGTAATTATGAGATTTCAGGTTCAGTTGGTTAGTGAAATTAAATTAAATATATAGTATAGAGGCAAATCTGTAATAATGATTGCGAGAATAAGATTGACAAGACTTTCTTGGCCGATCTTATGATCGAAATACAGTCATTTCCGGTACACTGACAGTGCAGTGTATCAGAATTGACCGAATCTCTCGCAATCACATTCTGATTGCGAGAATAAGACCGACAAGACTTTCTTGGCCGATCTTATGATCGAAATACAGTCATTTCCGGTACACTGACAGTGCAGTGTATCAGAATTGACCGAATCTCTCGCAATCACATTCTGATTGCGAGAATAAGATCGACACTATAGCGCAATTGAGTCTGTTGTGTCTGTTTGTGTCATTTCTGGTACACTGACAGTGCAGTGTATCAGAATTGACCGAATCTCTCGTAATCATATTCTTAGTTTGTTTTAAAATAGGAGTTGAATCATTATTTTGAGATAATATGTAGGTGTACAACTACCAAAATACGATAATGATTGTTTTGTATATCTATCACTAAATAAAAATATCTAAATATAAATTTGTTTAAAAGATGTATTTAAGAAAACGTATAAAATTATATGAAATGGAAAAGTTTAAAAGGCATTATTGAAAATATTTAGTTTGAAAAAAATAAATTTTGAAAAAAAAATTTGAAAATTGATTTGTCTTCTAGATTGAAATATTAGTGTTGTACGTTATAAATAATTTAAAAACTCAATTGCACTAAAGTGTCAATCTTATTCTCGCAATCAGAATGTGATTGCGAGAGATTCGGTCAATTCTGATACACTGCACTGTCAGTGTACCGGAAATGACTGTATTTCGATCATAAGATCGGCCAAGAAAGTCTTGTCGGTCTTATTCTCGCAATCATTATTACAGATTTGCCTCTATACTATATATTTAATTTAATTTCACTAACCAACTGAACCTGAAATCTCATAATTACTGCGATTGTAGAAATGCTATTAGATAGATATTTGAATTAGATACTGAATTTTCAAATTTCAAAATTTTTCTCATTAATTTAGATGCAATTTGATTAAGAAACACCATGTTATGAAATTATGCTAAAATTATTATATAATTATAGTTCAAATGAGATGCTAAAATTGAACAAAATTTAACGAATTAAAATTTAATAATTTAAAACCATTGTACTAACCTTCACTCTCTACTAGAAAACTAATATGCTAAAATTTCAAATCATCCATAGCAATTCAATTATAGTCCTTTTGAATGAAATATTTATTTCCACAATCTACAAAACGGATTACACGTGATAAATCCTCAATTACTTCAGAACTGTTTTTATACTGATGATTTTCAGCCTTGCGTCTAATATCTGTTATCAAGAATGAATCATCAAGTTTTATATCAAATGTTATTTTTGGCTTACGTAATAAAGGTAAAACATATTCATCATAATATTCCTTTTGGTATAGTTTTAGAATCTTCACTAAAACAAATGGAGAAGTCATTAAATGTGCATATCTACTACGTGCTTTTTCAAAATTACTTTTTGCATTTTCTGTTAAACTGCAGAAGTTATAAACGTTATCGTATGCTTCATTAATGAAATGATTAGGTAACGAATTAATTGCTTGAAACAGTGTGAATAATGTTATTTCTTTTTCTAAATTCATGTTTCCACCATCATTATGTACTTCAAAATCACAGATGCCATCAACTATGCTTTGAGCTAGTTTATCGTCAATGTTTACATCATTGTTTTCATTCATTATACTCTTTATTTCTTCATTCTTTTGTTCAACTCTTACCTTAATATTCAAATCATTTAATATATCGTTTACTGTTCTAGTTAATGTTGAATCATAACTTCCACGAATGAATGAGTATGTTTTGATTGGTTCTGTTGCATTCTTTCGAACTCTTGAATCAGCCATAACCACTAATGAACGCTTTGAATCATCCATAGAAGTCATTATATCAATATCATAATCATTGCAAGAATAACATTTAATCATTCTGTTCGAAACTGCATAGAAGAAATTAGTGTTGCAATAAATGTGAAGACCTCCTGAAGCGGTTTTAACAATAACATCTTTATCCGAAAGTTTTGATAAAATGTCTTTTCTAACTGTTTCTTTAAGTTCATCATCGTATGATTTATTGATATCAACATCTATAATCGTTAAATTTGAAATTTTATTTGCTAATAAAGCTGTACCAGTTTTCCTTCCTCTTCCTCCATCGTATTTGAGGTAGTTATGTAAATCAATCCTGTTTTCACCAATTCTTTCGTTGAGGGTTTTAGTTTCTGCCACAACTAATTCCTCAGCTAATGAATCAATAACTTTTTCATCAGAAACGATATAGTTGCTGTTGTTGTTTGTTGCTGTCATTTATATAGGAATAAAAAAATAAAAAATAATTTTAAAACTAACTTTATTTTTGGACTGCATCATATTTTCGTAAATGTTGTCAAAATGTCATGTTGTCACACTTTTTCAGAGAAGTTAAATGACCTGGTAGCACATGGTAACATGGTAGCACCTTCAGTTCTTCAAAAATAAGTCATTATTGAATAACCTGTGTTGTTGTCAAAATGTCATGAGTTAAATGACCTGGTAGCACATGGTAACATGGTAGCACCTTCAGTTCTTCAAAAATAAGTCATAACTGCCTTCCTCCTGTGTTGTTGTCAAAATGTCATGAGTTAAATGACCTGGTAGCACATGGTAACATGGTAGCACCTTCAGTTCTTCAAAAATAAGTCATTATTGAATAACCTGTGTTGTTGTCAAAATGTCATGAGTTAAATGACCTGGTAGCACATGGTAACATGGTAGCACCTTCAGTTCTTCAAAAATAAGTCATAACTGCCTTCCTCCTGTGTTGTTGTCAAAATGTCATGTTGTCACACTTTTTCAGAGAAGTTAAATGACCTGGTAGCACATGGTAACATGGTAGCACCTTCAGTTCTTCAAAAATAAGTCATTATTGAATAACCTGTGTTGTTGTCAAAATGTCATGAGTTAAATGACCTGGTAGCACATGGTAACATGGTAGCACCTTCAGTTCTTCAAAAATAAGTCATAACTGCCTTCCTCCTGTGTTGTTGTCAAAATGTCATGTTGTCACACTTTTTCAGAGAAGTTAAATGACCTGGTAGCACATGGTAACATGGTAGCACCTTCAGTTCTTAAAAATAAGTCATTATTGAATAACCTGTGTTGTTGTCAAAATGTCATGAGTTAAATGACCTGGTAGCACATGGTAACATGGTAGCACCTTCAGTTCTTCAAAAATAAGTCATAACTGCCTTCCTCCTGTGTTGTTGTCAAAATGTCATGTTGTCACACTTTTTCAGAGAAGTTAAATGACCTGGTAGCACATGGTAACATGGTAGCACCTTCAGTTCTTCAAAAATAAGTCATTATTGAATAACCTGTGTTGTTGTCAAAATGTCATGAGTTAAATGACCTGGTAGCACATGGTAACATGGTAGCACCTTCAGTTCTTCAAAAATAAGTCATAACTGCCTTCCTCCTGTGTTGTTGTCAAAATGTCATGTTGTCACACTTTTTCAGAGAAGTTAAATGACCTGGTAGCACATGGTAACATGGTAGCACCTTCAGTTCTTCAAAAATAAGTCATTATTGAATAACCTGTGTTGTTGTCAAAATGTCATGAGTTAAATGACCTGGTAGCACATGGTAACATGGTAGCACCTTCAGTTCTTCAAAAATAAGTCATAACTGCCTTCCTCCTGTGTTGTTGTCAAAATGTCATGTTGTCACACTTTTTCAGAGAAGTTAAATGACCTGGTAGCACATGGTAACATGGTAGCACCTTCAGTTCTTCAAAAATAAGTCATTATTGAATAACCTGTGTTGTTGTCAAAATGTCATGAGTTAAATGACCTGGTAGCACATGGTAACATGGTAGCACCTTCAGTTCTTCAAAAATAAGTCATAACTGCCTTCCTCCTGTGTTGTTGTCAAAATGTCATGTTGTCACAAACTTTAGAACGGCATAATTTAAATTTTTATTTTTATCATAAATGGATACCCCACAAGCTCAAAATTTACCACGAATCATAACAAGGGAAATGATAAAAATGATGCAAGAACATGTTAAAAATAACAAACCACTAAAATTGAGAAAATGTGGTTATGCAGTAATGATGGAAAGAGAGATGTTGTCAAAGAGGAATAAAAATTAAATTTGGATTGAGTTTAAAAATTCATCTTTATTAAATTCATCTCTTCCAATCAATTTATTTATTCTATTAAATTCTTTTATTTTTGCTTCACTCAGTTTAAGGATTGAACGGTAAGTTTCTAATTTTTCGATTATTTCTTTCCTCTCTTCATCGTTTTCAACCCCACCACATTGCGGCTTCTTTTTGTAATAGCATATTTTTGATTTAATTCTGTTTAGTTTCTTTTTATATTCATCGTCTGGACTCTTGACTGCTTCGTTGTCACTCATTTCTTACGAAATAAAAAAATTAAATATTATTTAAATATAATGGAGTAATAAAATAAATCGGAATTTCTATTAATTTATTGTCAACTTCAACTAATACATTACCGTTAATATATCTAACAAATTCAGCTATTGTGTCAAATCTTCGTCTTCTTTTTGTCATTGATTTATCAGTTTTTCCATAATCGAGATGAATCAAAACTTTATCCCCTTGTTTAAAATTCATGAGCCCCGAATTAATTTGTTCACGTTTAACATCATTCAACCTTTCCATTTGCTTTCTAATATATTCCCATTCTTTTGAAATATCATTTTTCATTTCCACTGGTTTCATGTTTATAGTTCTATGCCATGTATTATTATAATAATATACTAACTGTTGTATGATGGAGTCATGATTTCCATCCCAGTATATCTGACCGTTAACCCCTAACGCATCTCTAAGAGTTCTCATTACCGCATCAACTATTTTATTATGAAACGTATATGGAGAGGATGAGAAGAAAAAATTAATTTGTGGGAAATAATGAATCATAGTTGCCTGAAATCCTTTATCACCATCACCCCTGATATTATCTACTCTTTCATGATCTAGTAAGTATTGTATAGCTCTTCTTGTTTCCTGTTCTGTTTTCCCTTTCACCGGAATGCAATATAAATATCTAGTGTTAATGTTAATGGCAAATAAATAAGTAACTTTTCCTTTTGAATATTCCAGATGATCGATTTCGTATGAATATGGATATGGTGCAAATGAAGGGCGACTAAATTTTTCCTTTAACGGTTGAATTTTCGGGTCAATTGGTTTATTTAATATCTTGAAATCCTTTTTAAAATCTTTTTGCTTCTTAAATGTTTGAAATGGATATAATAAAGTGAATGATGAAGGATTAACTGAAGGAGGAGGTACTACTGTTGGAGGTTTTGGTGTTGCAAGTGGTTTAATTTTATCTGCTTTGATTTTGGATTTCATTCCTTTTTTCATTAATTCTGGATGTATTTTATTCATTTGTTTTAAATATGCTGTATATAAAGGTTTGATATACTTTCCCGCTTCGAGTTTATGTTGAAGGATGAATTCCAAAAGTTGATCTTCATTTAAAAGTCGGGCTGAATGTGGTTTAACTAATGAATCATAAATTAAAGCTTGTGCATCATTTATGGTCTGAAGGGCCTGAGCGTTTTGTTCCTTTGGCTTTTGTGGCTCAGGATTATATAATTTATACAATTCATCAATATCTTCTTCTGTTAATACTTTATTTTTGAAATCTTTCAATTGTTTAAGTTGCGATTTAGTTTTTCCCTTTGCATATTCATTATTTTTAATTTTGTCTTTAATTTTAGAAATTATTCTATCATGATATTTCAAAACTTCATTTTTATAATATGGATAATAATAATCCATATCATCACTCATTATAGTGTTATCATATTCTTGGAGATATGCTTTTAAATCATAATAAGTAAGAAAATTTTGATGAAATATTAAATCACCAATTGCTCTTTTTAAATTTACATCACCCATTTATATAAAAATAAAATAAGTGGCATTTTTTTAAAAATAAAATTTCAAATTGTATTAAATAAATGGCATACAACATCCATTTTCACAACATACAGCCTTAGTGTGTGCTCCTGTTAATGCAGTCTTACCGATTGTTAAGCGAGTCATCGTCCTGTTTTTAAGTTGTAAATTAATATTCTGACCATCAAATATCAATTTATCATTTATTATATCCAAATATTTTTTAGGTGTTAATTGTTTATTTTGTCGTAAACTAACACCTTTCATTTTTTGTGCAATCTTTTTAAAATCACTTCCATCAATTGAACCGTTGAATGATGTATAACACTTAGGACATAAAGCAACCATGTTATCACCTTGTTTCTCAATTGCTAAACCCAATAATTTTTTCTCATGTGCTTTTTCTTCAGCTTTATTCTTTAATTTAGGTTTAAATTTCTCATCAAAACAGAAGAAATCAAATGGTGCGAATTTGAAAATGTTTTTATCATAAAATTGTTTATCGGTAACAATTGCTTGAAATGCTTGAGTGTTAGGAAGATTTGGGTCGCCAGCGATTGCCCAATAAGATGAATCAGTATCACCTTCAATGAAATGAAAACGATTAACATCCATGCATTTATACATAAAATCATAAATGAAAACCAAATACCAGTATTTAGCATTATCTAAAGTGAAGAATGCCTCTTGTAAACATGTATCACATCTATAAAATCTATCTTTAAGCATCACTTGATACGTATCTTCACCTATTTCTCTTATTTTTTAAACTTATTTGACATACATGCAACGCGTGCCTTCTGTGCATTCATTATTTTAGTCTTTGCGTAATTTTGTGTATTCATTGCATCGTAACCATATGATCCATTAAGTGAAATCTTGCAAAATAAACTTTTTCCTTTATTTCCTTCTAATTCCGCCTTTTGTCTTTCGTTCATAAATTCGTTCGCAAATTCATTAAAACAAGTATTTTTCGTAAATGTTAAAATTGATTGAATGTCATCAATGATAAAATGAAATCTGTCGATTAGATACCAAAGATAATAAGAAGAAAATGGTTGATATTGGTTGTGTGTTGATGCTAACTGAGTTAATTTTCTCTGTTTCTGGTCAACTGGTAGATTGTTTGATTTCATGTAATTATACATAAAACTGCCAATTGTTTTTTCATCTGTGATAATATCTAAGTTTCTTATTATCGGTAAAAAGTTTATGTAATCATTAATGTATTTTTCATCAATGTGACCCTTTACTTCAGCCACGAATAAAGTATTTTTCTTCTTAATTATTCCCAGTGCTTTTGCTTTCTTTGTTGCTGTATCACAAATGATAACACCATTCAATCTTCCCGGCATATACATTTTATGGTCAGTATATTGAATGAAATCATGAGGATTAGATGAAAATGATGAAGGATATAATGAATTAAAGTCAACACCAACGAAATGAGTCATAATGTTGGTGGTGTCCTCATTTGATACAGTTTTAGTTTCTGGACTATATGAAAGTTTATTAATGTGTGTGATTCCTTTAAGATTAACACGATGTTGAACATTTGATAAACCACCAGTAATTCCATTACGGAGAATGTGATAAGCTTCAACTGAATCTAAAGTCATTGGTAAATTATTTTTTAATGCATAATTTCTTAAATTGATTCTTAAACGTTGAACATCTTCATCTTTATTTGATTTTACGACATTGCAATAACAACACATTAACTGACAATTTTCTTTGGTATGTGGTTTTTCATTATCGATTCTATCCAATGTTGGTTTATTTACATATGTAAACGCTTTACCACACATTTTGCATTTAGATGAAAGGATTAAATCGTGATAGTATTGAAAATCATCCATTGAAACATTATTTTTAATATCCCTTTCTGCTTTTTCATCTTGTTTCTTATATGATTCAATTTTATATTTCCAATACTTTTTCGTTAATTCAAAACTTGATTCTATCTCTTCCTCAGGATATTTTTCATTAGGATTAAAGTCTTTATATGCTAAAGCGTAACGAATCATTGAAGCATTCGATGATAAAGAAAGATTATGAAGCATGTCAATTTTATAAACAAATGTTTCTTCAATAATTTTATCAATTGGGTCAATCATAATTTCAACATCTTTATTGCAATAATGAATAAAATATTCTAATCTATTCTTAAAGTTTTTAGCATCATTGAGATATATTTGATAATCACTATCTGATATAGTTTCTTGAGTTAATGCTGAATAAAATGAATCTTTCGTGAATGGTTCCACTTTATATAATTCTTCTTCGTAATTTTCCCACGTGATGAATTGATAAGGGAAAAAGGATTTAACACGTGATTTATTATTTCCGAAATCTTGAGTGAATTGGTCTAATGTTCCACCCGCTATATAATTTCTGATGTCAATAAATCTCAATTCATATGGAACGTTTGTTTTCTTTACAATGATTGGCTTAAATTGTGAAGAAGAACCCAGCATTGATTTTATTTTCCATTTTGCAGTGTTTAAATCACGAAGAATTAAATTTAAATCAAACTTTCCCGAATTAAAACCTATGATATTCACTTTATTGAATTCCTCATCTAGAAGTTCTTTAAATGCTTCCTTCTGTTTTTCATTTAATGTATGAGACAAAGTCCCCGCCGTTTGCGGCTTCAATAATTCTTCATATTGTTCAATATTTGATTTAGCAACTAATGAACAGGTTGAAAATAAAAACTCAATCCAATCAGAAATAAAAGAATCACTCGAAGTTAAGCAAAAATTCCTCGTATATGTTTTATCGTTTAATTTAACCGTTGATGATACCATGAATGGTTTTAAGTAAGCGTTCAAAGTTGCACACTCAGAAAGTTGTAATTCTTCTTTAGTCTCTAATGTTTCGAAGTCAAAAGTAATATAATATCTTGTCGGTTGATAATATTCCTGCAAATTGTGAGCTAATAACCACTGATATATCTTCTGTTTCGTAATATGTGGTGCATATGGTTGCTGTGTCTTTTGCAACTGAACGTCTTGAATTAATCTTCCATTATTTTCTTTACATTTCTCACAATGCTTTAAAAATCTTCTTTGGTTTTTCCTTTCTGGATCATCACGGATAGAATAAACTTCTTCTTTACAATATGGACAAACCTTATAGCCGGTGAGTGCTTCAACGTCTGTTATTCTGTCAGCGTGAAGTTTTCCACATGGACTCTGTGTTAATAAAATATTTACTGTTTCAAATTCTGGATCTATCATTATTGATTCCACTAATGGAAAGTCTACCTTATTTATATCCACGTCTTCTGGTTGAGGATCACAATAATAGAAATCAATATTAACATTTAACATTCTCGCTAATCTCTCACTTTCTGATGAAATGTCAAACCCTTCATATGCATCTATTGCTTCATTTAAATAACTTCTACGAGTTTTAGGATTAACACCATCAGGAATGTTATAGAAGCGTTTAAATAACCTTCTACCTTCTGCTCTAATTTGATTATCATTCATTTTAGTTGTTCCGTTTTTGTTCATTTATGTAAGAATAAAAAATTAAAAAATAAATAAAAATAAAGTTTATTTTTTAAAGCCCATAAAATGAATTAAGAACACATAAATTTTTATCATCTGCAACGTGACGAATACATTTTAATTTACTCAAGAATGCGTACCCTGATACATTAAATCTAATTCCTGTCTTATTTAATTTCACAACTTTGAAAAGGAATGTATGAATAGCTATAAAATGATGAGAAGATGTTTTATGGGTTGCTTCCATTTTTTCTGAAATAAATGAATAAATATAATGTTTATAAGTTTTCATATCTTTTATGTTCTTAATAACGAATGGTCAAAAATATCAAAAGGGACTAAAGAATGCTAATATGTTAAATCATATAAGTAGCAAAAGAAAATCGATATTTCAAATAAAATAATAAGAAATATACATTAAAAAGATCATAAAATTCATAAACAATGTATACTGAATACATTTATCCCATTTTTATAATGGTTTATAATTTTTTTGTCTAAAATCTTCGATTTTATTTTCTGAACTTTACAAGATTTTTTGAGTCCTTTGTAAAATCATGGAGGCCAGAATTGAAGAACTCGCGTTGTGCATCTTCAAATCTCCCTCAAATGAAGAGAGGAAGGCTGCAGAAGCTGAAATTGCTCAGTTGGCAGAAACAGTTGAGTTCTATCAAACAGCTTTTCAAATAATTGTCTCTCATTCAAACAAATCAGTTCGTCAAGAAGTAATGGTGTGGATAACTAAGTATTTTAAGAGTGTTCCACCTGAATTAAAGCAATTCTGCTTCGAATCTTTTATCAAATCACTGCCAAACATCGATCGTACACATTTAAACTATGCAGAGAAGATGGCCAATGAATGGACAGAGGAATACATCAAAGTATTCGGCTGGCCAGCAGTTCGAGAAAAAATTATTTCTCCAGAGAACCAACTATCATCATTAATGCTTGCAAAAGCAGTTTGCAAGGAATTAAAGCGTAAAAGGAATCAAACTCTTGAGTTATTTACTGACTTCGCCGTTGAAATTTTTCCAATTTTTGTTCAAATTCTCGAATCACAAGACTTTTACCTTATTCAAATGGCTTTTCATATAGCAAACAGACTAATTAAGACATCAGAAACAGCAGGACCCTCAAAACAACTCAAAGAATTCATTGAACCAATATCTGAACAATTTTTACCGAATTTACAACCATTTTACAACTATTCAAGCATTTTACTTAACATTCAGAAAACAATTGAGTACGAAAAACTGACGGTTGAAATTTTGAAATTTTTATCAAATTATGTATACATAATCAAGCATTTTCTTGATGAAAACACATTGTCACCGATTCTCTCATACATGCAGTCCATCTTTACATCTAATTTATCCTCAAAATCCATAGGAAAAGCACTTGAATTATTATATTCAATAACTTTCAGGGCAAAAGTAGTTTCTGTCCTCTCAGAAAACGCGGAATACTTTGTAAGCAACGTATTCGCACCTTTCTTTGTTCTCCAACCTGCAGAAATCGAGTTCATGGAAACTGATCCGGCATTATTCGTCCAAACAATCGAAAAAGAGGGTAATGATTGGTGCGATCCACGTGCTAGTGTCTCCCACATCATTAAAAAGTCAAATCAAATTGGTTTGACAGCTGTTTTCGAAAATTTATTTAATTATTTGACAACAACTTTACAAAACGCAGAGAATTCATCGCAAATATTCTCAGCATGCGATATGTTCTCATCCTCTGTATACAAATTCGATCCACAACAGTTCTCAGAGTTAATTCCAACTTTATGCGAATTATGTGACAATGAAGACTTCGTAATAAGAGCCGCAGCGTTCAAAATTCTTAGTAATGCCGTGAACTGTAAGTCTACGATCAATGCGATTGAAGTTTGCTTGAATCATTTGAATGATGAAGCGATTTTGGTTTCTTACTACGCCAGTGTATCATTATCTTTGACCTTCAGGACAATCAAGAACTCTGAGATGAAGGACGAGCTCTTGGAAAGCCTCAGAAAGAATAGTGTTGAAATTGTCGACATTTTCCTTAGAATCAACACAGAATTCAACAATGAAAACATTGCTTACTCATTAATGGATATATTAGAGTTCTTTTCCGATGATGTTCTACCTTATGCAGTTTCAATTTCCGAAAATTTGCTTAAATTATACGAAGAAACGAGCAAAAGCAACGAACAACAAGGCGAATCATTAATCCCGCATTCAATCAACACCCTTATCGAATGCATGAAGAAGATGCCTGATAATACAGACTCATTAAAAGAAATTTTCTCTCATTTGTTACAAACTACAGAAAACCTGATCGGCGTTTGTGACCTCGAAGAAATTTTCAGAATCGGCAGTCGAATTGTGTATAATTCAACACATTTCGATCCATTGTATTGGGAAATATTACCTTATATACAAAGAAACTTAGAAATCGAAGATTTTCTTTGTAGTCGAATTCGTCCACTTCTTTCGTTCCTTATCGACAGGGATACCAATATAAATGAAAGAGGTGTTGTTCCTATCATCTTAGAGCTCCTCCATTCATGTTATCAACGCGATGAATCTGATGGATCGGATATCTTAAACATTGTTGCAGGATTGACCGTCAAGACTGGTCAATTAGAGATCATGCAAAACTTTGCCGATGTTATCGCTGCCGTCTACAATGAAGATAAGATGATTTACGATGGCGGAGTTGATTCTTGTGTTTCTGTCATACTTTGCATGTCAGATTTTCAAGGGATGTCAAATTTGTTTGGTGACATAACTAATGAGATGTTAAGTGAATGGTCAGAGTGTGAAGAATTTCCATTTAAGATACAAACAATTATTTCGAAATTTAATGATTTTGTAAATTTCGATTTTAATTTTGCAATTAATTGTTTGGCATCGTCAATTAAAGCTATTCATGGCCAGATAAATTATAAAGAAGATGATGAAGATGATGACAAACTTGTTTTTTACGGAGATATGGAAGAAGAAGACGAAAAAACACAAAAAGAAAATAACGAAGAAGAAGATGAAGAAAAAGACAAAATGTTTGCGTTAGATACAATAGGAGGAAGCTTCGGATCTTCGGATATGTCTGCTGATTGGTTCAATCAGTCGGAACTTATTAAAAACTTCCACAATTTGATGATTTCTGTCAAATCTAATGAAGAAATAATGAATTCTCTTTCACAACTGCTAGAACAGAGTGGTGATGGAACTGACTACTTGAGTTGTGTAGATCAAATGCTTAACTACGCAAAGAAAATTCAAAAATAAAAACTTTTTTATAGATTTTTAAATTATTAAGAATGCACTTACTCCCATCTGACTTTAATTCAAATTTTGACAAATAAAGTTCTTAATACTCAACAAGAAAATCAAAATCCAGAAGCAGAAAATTATACTTTTGACTTCCAATTCCTTAAAAACATTGCAAACGAAAAATCTGTCAAAGAACAGTTTAACATTGGTGATCAAGCAACAGTTGAAATATTCAACGATTCTGAACCGATTACTGTCAAATTTTTAAGCGCTGCTTCATATGAAGATACCAAAAATATTCTTTCATCGACATTGCCACCTGATGATGCTTTAGCATTTCGTTTAGTTAAGAAAAAGACAGTAGATAATAAAGGTTGGGTCATAATGTTAATGAATTCAACGAATTGTCTTTTTATTTTCGGAAAACATAAAGAAATCACGAAATTACTTGAACCATATTCTCTGTTTTTAGATATTTCCGAATCTATTAAAGATAATCCACAACTCGCCGAATTTATAAAACCAAGGACTAAAGCGGTGAATCTTCCATCTTTAGGAAAAATATCTGAAAATTATAAAGATAAAATATTCCAAACAAGATTTATTCCATCAGTCAGCGATATTGACAAGAAGTTGAAGTTTATATCAAAATTGGCGATGATTAAACATGTCTACTGTGGAGCAGTTTTCTTAAGGAAAAAAAGCCGATTGATATTTCAAACGGCGGTGTTATAATCGAAAATAATAAAACGTTTACAGTTGAAGGCGATGGAAAAGTGTATCCGCAGAAAAAAGATGTTTCAAGACAAATTCGGTTTTCTCTAATTTTTTTGGAGTTTTTCGAAAACAATTTTCATTTTTCTCGTCAAATAAAGGAAATAGAACAAAATTAAATAATGAAACAAAAGAATCTTTTTGCAATTTCGTCCAATATGAAATTAAATCCAATGAATTCTTCACCATCATCATGATTTTGTTTTTGATTTGAATCTACAGGTTCATCAGAAAAGAAATTTAATATTTTAGCTATTTAATATTTTAGTAATTCATTAAAATCATATTCATTATCTAAAACTTCTTTAAATAATTTTAAATTTTTCATATCTTTGACGACGATTCATTTCAAAAGTGTCAAAAATTAAAAAGGAAATGAAAATTAAAAAAACAGTCAGTGACGATTGACTGACTGACTGACTGACTGTTAAAATTAATGAAAAAAAACTAATGAAAATCATTAATTTTTTAACTTTTTTAATTTTTTTTATTGTATATATTTAGTAATTTTCCTTTCTACTTTCTATCTCTTTTTTCTTTATTAAGAAAAAATCCTCGATAGAAGTAGTTAGCCCCGACATTCATCCGGAGGCTTTAGGGTTAATTAAGAGTTCAGAAGAATTTTTAATTAACCTATCGGATCCTACGAACTATTTTAAGTATACTTAAGAAATAGCCGAAAATATACGAATTTTATGCATAAAAGGGCTCAAAATACACTATCATTAGTTTTTTAAAGCAAATTAACTAACGTTATGAATATTTTAAAGCAAAATTCATGAAATCGTATATTTTCCTTTAATTCCTAAGCACTTAAGGAAAAAATCAATGATTTTTTAAGTAATAACATCACTTTCTTTAGTGTTAATTTAAAGAATTTGTTATAAAACTATTACCTATACTATCGCAATTCGTAATGAACAAAATTTGCGTTTTTGGCAGTTCCGGCATCCTTACACTCTAAATTTTGAATATGATATCTATAAATTTATAAAGTAAATCCGAACATAAAACGCGATTATAATGTCCTTCCATTAATATACTATTATAAAGATCTCTAAAATATGATTTATAATTATTATTTTTTAACAAAAAAGTATTAAAATTGGAAGATAAATCCTAAAATTACAACAAATAAATATATAGGTATAGTTAAAAACATCACAGTATGTGATTCTGCACCTGAAACAACAATGAGAGAGCCAATACTATAAAATGTTTTCGAAACGTGAGTGCTTAGAACCAAACCAGCATCCAATGTTGTTATAGGCTTAATCCTAAACAGAAAAGCACATAAAAAGCAAGTAGTATATAAAATTTTCGAAATTGAATTGTGAGAAGTTGTCAAACAAGGCAAAGAAATCAAAAATAGCTTAGATCTGAATGCAGGAAAAACAAGAAGTATCTGGCGAAGAGGGTAAATTTCCTTTGAAATTTTTGGAAAAGAAGTAAGATGAGATTCTAAAAAGAACGCGATCATGAACGATACAACAAAGGATATAAATGTTTGCAATGCATCAAGAAATAGTTTTAAGTTAGGAGTACTGATATTATGAGTTCTCAACCAGAAAAATAGGTATGAGAAGAAGGAAAGTAGACTAAGTGGGTAGGTTTCTGGCAATATTAGTATACATCCGGCAACTGAGGCTCCTGACACGATATTGCATAACAATTTGATTAAAGTATACGAGGAATTGACTGAGATTGTAACAACGAATAAATTAAATGATATAAATGCATATAAGCAATCAAATTCTGGTGTTGGTATGATAAATTGGAAAAATAAAATTAAAAATGCGGCAATGGAATTGCATTTCAACAACAATGCTGACCAAAATGCAAATAATGCACCAATTATATGAAGAAGCTGAACAATTAAGTAATTTGGAAACATAAAATTGAATAATTCGTTATTTCTTAGCCAAGAATCATACATCATGTTAACATTCCCATAAAAATACTGTCTACCGTATATTGATACTGCAAGGATTAGTGTGAAGACTACATTCCTGAGCATCAAAAAAATCTCTTATTTTTGTCAGATTTTAGATTCTGATACTTCTATCTCAATAAATTCAACATAATTTGATTCCACATTAGTAAGATGTCATATATCCACACACAAATTTTTAAATTTAATGGGTGTTCCTGGATATCTTCAATGGATCCTTACAAGAATATCGGATACACAGTTCCATCATAGCGCCAAATCTAGTCCTTATGACAATCTTTATATTGACATGAACTCTATCATATATTATGCTATTAATAAAATAAATTTTAAAGATAGATTACCAAATCAAGACCTTGTTAATGAAATCGTTATTAAAATAGATGAATTAGTTAAGATGGCGAGACCAAAGAAAATAATTTTAATCGCAGTCGATGGATGTCCTCCAACGGCAAAAATCTCTCAACAAAGATCCAGAAGATATGCATATTCGGCAAATTATCAAGACAGTTCATTTGATTTATCAAATGTTTTCCCAGGCACAGAATTTATGATAAATTTAAACAAATTATTAGAATCTCAACTCCTTAATAAGATCACCAATGATGAAATTTGGAGCAAAGCAAAGCTATATTATAGCGATGTGTTTTGCCCTGGAGAAGGTGAACACAAAATTGTTGATTTTATTCGCTCAATATCTAATGATCCTGAATATTCACATTCAGAATGGTCATATATTTATACAGTTGACACTGATGTTATATTTCTTGCGCTTTCAATTCATAATCCAAATTATTCTTTAATTTTTGAACCACAAAATGGATCACAATACACAGTTATACATATAGATAGTATTAGAGAATACATATTTCAGCAGTTTGAACCATATTGCAAACCAGATTTCGAAAGAATTATTGATGATTATGTATTTTTATCATTTTTATTCAAAAACGATTTCTTCGCTGGATTTAAAGAACTAGAATTTTGCACACAATCAAAGGACACAATAATTACGAATTATAGAGCTGCCAGAAAAGCCTTGGGAGGTTTTATTGTTAATGGCAATGATATTAATATAGAATTACTCAAGAAATTTATTGAATCATATTTAATTTCAAATAAAATATCAGAATCAGATAAAATTGATTTTAAATGCGATGATGAACAAAAGATCGTAGATGAAACATTGAGAGTTTTCATGTGGATGCATCAATACTACAAATCTGGATGTCCTGATTGGACATTTTCATATCAATATCCAAAACCACCTCCTATAACACTTTTTCACAAATTAGTTCGTGATATTCCTTCTAATTTTGATAGAAATATTCGAATTCCAACTGCTGTTGAGTTGCTACTTATAATACTTCCTAAGTCAAGATCTTTTGTTTCAAAGTTTCCTGAATTTTTCCCAGAAAAATACAAAGTTATTGGAGATACAAAGCATCAAAGAGCTCTTCTTGATCCGATATATTTCAAAGTTATACTTGATGAATATTCAAAACTTGGATTCAAAGATATCGATCTCAAATGCAATGAAATTCACATGCTTAGAGAAGTCTCAAATGGAGAATTCCATGAAGCATCAATTCCTGAACCAAAACCTTTTGAACCAATTCTTAATTCAATCTTCACTATTAATAAGAACAAATCTCCACATTCCAAAAAGAAACCCAAGAAATAATGAGACAATCTAAATTATTTGGAATAACAATGAAATTCTTTCAAGTATATAAATCAAAAATGATCTAGCTCAAATAAAAAGATAACATCTTGACATTGAAATAAGAAGATTTATTTGAGCTAGATCTGATCCCAAATATGGCTAGTTCATCTGAAAATGCATTAATACGAAACTGCTCTAACATTTACCTATCTCTCTTTTGCTCTCGATATTATAATTGAAAAAGAAAGGATTTCTAGTTTTTACGAGAACATTTAAATTCTATATTGTCTCATGTTAGATTGATTAAAGACCTAGTTAAAAGATTTCAAAATTGAACTATTCCATCAGATTGTTTTTGGTATCTGATTAATTAAAAAATTTATTAAACAAAAACAATCTTTTCCAAACAAATCTAACAAGAATGTTTGAAATGAAATTTGAGTTAATTAAAAAAATTTTTAAAATTATTAAACAAAATTTGTTTAATAAGAAAGTAAAAACAAACACAAAATGAATTTTAAAATCTAACGATCCCGAACACAATCGAAATTAGCCGACATCATTGATTTATCTGCTGATTTTGCATTTTCGAAAATTCTTGTCCAATTATTCTTAAACACTGCGAAAGAAGCTGATTTCTGGGCCTTCATCAGCTTGTGAGCATCGTTTGCTTTATTGAATGTCTGATTGTCAATTTCAGATAATACCTGTAAAACAACGTATGCGTTAGTCTTTGTACACTCATCCCAATGGTGTTTGGCCGCTCTATATATTGGCTCTATGACTATTGGAAAAACTATTGTAGAATGTGTCCTAATTACAGATGCGAGTTCTGGATTCATCAGGAAGTCCACGGAGGCTTCAGATACATCCGTATTCTCTGATTCAACACAGTCCCCAACGATTTTAAATATTGTAGAGGCTACTTTCGGTGAAACATTTAATTCAAATGTAGAAAGAAGAGTTGTAAGCTCGTTTAAGAAATCTATTTGCTTCCTGCGATCAGAACATGGCCAGTGCTTAGCAATGTACATAACTGTTGGTGTAAATAGTAAAATCGACTTTTGAATAAATTTTACAGTACATTGAACGAAAGGACGCTGTATTGAAGAGTATTTCTGAGTGCAATGTAAAGGTAATACGTATTTATAGTAAAAATCAACATGGTCTTGCTTTAAAGGAGCATTGAATCCGCTGACGATGCTCAAGAAGAATTCCATCAATTCTGATGAGCAGATATTATTACTAAACTGATACGCTATATTTGATCTAACTATTTCTCGCAGATGAATGAATTTCGTGTACAATGCGTGAAGAATATCTCGAACAACAGCTTTTTCGCGATCGTCTGGCGAAACGCAGTTGCCTATTAATTTGTATAAAAAGGATGTGGTTATAGAGTTCTGAATTAAAGGGCAATTAAGAGATGCTAATAAAGAGTCATAAACAAGAGATAAGTGAGGCCAAGATGCATCAGACAATGAGTCGTGAGCATCTATTGGCGATACTGATGGTATTGTGGGAAATGGACGAAATAAATTTACGGATAACATATTCAAAAATTCATTAATTGTATCGGTTTGCATCGATCTGACTAGATGAGGAATTGTGAATGCCGCGGCAATGTGTTTTAGTAATGTTGCTTTAGTTTGTTTTGCTTTTGCATCTGCATTCGCTGAAGAAAAGTCACAAATCACACAACACTCATGACATTTCTCGAGTAATAATTTTTGTTGATCTTTTGGTGGACATTCGAGTAATGGCTTGCTCGGTTTTATCACTGCTTCAATTCCATCAGTTGATCTAAGCGTCGAAAGCGAAATACTCTTGTCAACTGAGAGGTCAAGCTCTGCTTTCGGCGCAGCTTGTTTTTTCGCTTTTGCCGGGACTTTAGCCGGCCTTAAGGCAGGTAATTTTGAACGTCGCATATAAAGGACGTTTTGCGCACTTTACAAAAAGCGGTTTTAAAAGTGGCGATTTTTCCAAATTTAAACTGATGGATATTGGGATATATCCACCAGATATAGTCAAACAAATAGTATCACATCAAACAGTTGATGGAAGACTACATTATATTACAAATATAGATGAAATAAAAGAATTATGCGAATTACCTTCCGAAGATGTAAATGAAATGGGATTAAGGAAAGTTGAATCATACTGGAAAACGGTAAATAACCCTTTACCTTTTCCAAAAGGCGATATTACTTCTTTTGATATTATTGATTTCGAAATAATTGGAAACAATCCATATTTTTTAGTTAAATTATACGGGTACTTCGAAGTTAAATTGCATTTTCTTACCAAAGAACAAGTATTGTGTCTCGAAGGAGGATTTTCAAAGATCAACGAGTATTATCAAAATATCCTTATTCAAAATAACAAAAGTAAAGCAGATTAACCACTACAATCATGCAAAAAATGATTTTAGATCATTTCATTAAAAATAGAAAATTGATTTTAGCTTGATTTCCCATTTTACTATCAGAATTTTCTCTCATATTTGGAGAAAATCTTAGTTTTATGTCTTTATTGAAATTTTTCTTTTTATAATTTTATTGACCTGCTGCAAGTGGAAAAATACATAAGTTTACTACTCTTATGTACTTGGGCAAAGTCAGTGAAGTAGTTTATCTTAAAGACTTAAAAAGAATTCAAAATAGAATTTAATCTTAAAACCAAGACAAATTTTCATATGTAAATAGAGTGTATTCAATGATATAGTTATAATTTTATCTCAAAAAGTTATACATTCCTTTTAAAAATGAGTATCTCGATTCAAAATCATGTTTATAAAGAATTTTGAGTCAATTTAACCTAAGAAATAAGATTTGTAACATTAGTACATTACGATAAATCTGTTATAAAAAGATAATATCAATTTTTTAAAAAAGTATTTTCTGATCAAGCTTTTCAAGCTTAAATTTAGGATGAATTATTAGTCACTTACCATATCTTATGGGATTTCTGCAAAAATAACTACTGAAACATCATTTAACATAGATTCGGTTTAAGTGTCAAGATATGTAGTTGTGTTGCATGCCCAATCATTTAAGCCAGATGTCTTGTGATTGCAAAGCGTGTAGTGTCTTTGTTCCACTAACTAAAAATCTAAAAAAAATATCAAACATATGATTATTTTTGATTCAAATGCTGTTCGGCATTAGAATCAAAAATAATCTTTAGTATGTTTGATACTTTACGCCTGTATAAAAAACACAATAAAAGTGTAAATTTGACTATTATCTCGATAAGGACAAGTTAAAAATTTTTGAGAAAAATAAAATTTTTGCCTGAGCATTCTTTGATGCAGACAAGTCCATGGCTGACCTGATTTGCAGAAAGTCACCATATGTACTATAACACATATGTGCACATACTATATGTTATACTAAGTTTCAGCCTGAAATTTAAACTTATTACTGTGATATTTTTTCATTTTTTCTGAACATGATATTCAAACTTTTTAATTATAATCATCAGTCTCTAATGGAATGTTTAAAGACAATTCATAAATCCGAATTGTTAAAACGCATAAACATAGTGATTCTTCTATTGATGCTCATCAATGATTTATATCAGCGCCGATCTTTTCGAATTAAGCTCAAAAAAATTTATATATGGCAAGACTTGCCACCAAGAACGAGTAAAAGCATTCCAGAATCAGCTATTATTGATATCACTACAATAAAATGGAATAATATTCCTCAAGTAAAAAATCATACATTTTTTATCAAAGATGATTTTCCTTTTACAGGAAATGCAAACCAATATCAAGAATTTTGCAATACAAATGTCAATAGAATCTATCATCTTCGCGATTGCTTCTTCTCTGGCAATTCTGCAATAATTTACAATAAAACTTATCTCGACATATCGATTCCAAATCAAGAGATTGCAAGCTTGTATAGTTTAATACCAGGGCAAATAGTTGGATCTCACGATGTTGCTATTTATTTAGGACATGGTTTTTGCCATATTTACGGTCATTTTATTGAAGACGCTCTCTCTCCATTGATGCAATTACCAAACGAGATACTAAAGAAAGCTACAATTGTAATGTGCACTGATGACAAGTACATCAAGGATTTTATGTCTCAGCTAGGGTTTAAACGTGATCAATGCATCAACCTTTGGAAAACTCATTGGATATTCGCGCGAGAACTGTACATTAATTTATTTCCAAGGTCATATTTTGTTCATGTCGGACCTTGCTTCAGAAAACTTCGGAATTTCATCCGGGAAAAATTTAATCTTTTGAATGATATTCCCTATAGATACGTCATTACGAATCGTGCAAATAGCTATCGAAAAATAGGGAATTTTGACGAAATTGTCACCGCTGTGAAGGCAGCTTATCCCAATATTAAGTGGGAAATCCATTATCAGGGTACAGGGAAAATAGATGAAACCGTGAAAGTTTATGGATACTCAAAGATTATTTATGGACCTATAGGAAGCAACTTTTTCAACGGAATATTTTACCACCCATCGACTATTTCCATCATAGTTTTCTCTCATTTGTTTGATCCAACAACTCCTGCAACAATCGGTTGCTGTTTTAATAGAGTTATTTTATATTGTGAGCCAAAAATGAAACAATTCGAAGAATCTCCAAATATATTTAATATTACAAGGGCTCTGCTAGCTTTCAAAATTGCTTTCTATGCCCAAGAAAATAATTCTTGGCCAAATCTTCAAAATTGTAATCTTTTCATGTAAATATTGTAGGGATTCCGTTTGGAGAAATAACTAGCTTCTCCAAAATTGTAAATAAAATCTATAGATGTCATTTTTGAACAATCATGATTTTTTTTTAAAACATTGACTCATGGATTTAACATTATTTTATCCCAAAATCCCATTTCTTTATCAAAAGAGGCTCCAAAATCATATCTTAAAATACTCACTTGATTTTTGCAATTCAAGCCCGTAACTAAATTTAGTGTCCACTTCTCCAATGGAGAAGTATTCAATTATTGGAGAAGACAGACGCTTTGGAGGCGGATTTTAATTTTGTTCTCTAACGAATTTCTTTTAGAATTTACAGTTTCAAGATATCCCATTTCTATTTTCTAATTCTGATAGTCCATAAAGATAGGATAAAATTTCTCATAATTTATCGTTTAAAAATTTTCTGAGAAAATGGATAAATGTATAATAATCTTACATGTTCAAATTTCTTGGTTTATTTAGGAAGAATGATAATTATATCGTGAATTTCGAAAATCCTCAATTTGAAACCCTTCAATTATCAATGGGTGCTTATGGAAGTATGCCAGCTGAACCAGAGAGCTCTTACGGTCCGGTGTTCTATGAAATGGTTGCTAATGCATGCAATACAAATAACGATATGATAGGATTTAATGAAGATGTGATGAGGTCGTTAATTGATGATGGAAGCGTTAAACATTTATATGAATCATACGATAACACTCATTTCCTCTGTGGATTCCCTACGGAAACTGATTTCACATTTCAACAGGGTCAAACATCAACGGCACCAATTACATATAAATTAGGTGTTAAAGCTGATGATACAAATATAAGCGAAAAATACACTGTCAAACCTTTATTAGGATTTCTTAGAAATGCTTGTTTCGCTATTCAAGTTAGACCAGCCGGCATCCCTGCTGTTAGAATTGATGATTATAATTTAGCTGCTGATGGAGGTGATGAATAAAAATAAATGTAGTTAATTTTTAATTTTCTGATTTTTTTATTTTTATAAAACGATGGAAAATAATAACTGGGAAACGTTAGTTGCTGATGAAGATTACGAAATTAACACAAAATATCCGTATCAAATAAGAAGAAAGAAAAACGGAAAGACTGTCAGTGAGTATGAAGAAAAGAATGGATATATAAGATTAACCCTTAACGGTAAAAAATATCTTAAGCATAGATTAATAGCTATTCAGTGGATTGATAATCCTGGTAGTTTTGGGGAAGTTGACCATTACGATAAAGTAAGAAATAATAATAAGATTGATAATCTACATTGGTGTTCAAGTTCTACAAATAATAGAAATAGAAGTAAAGCAAATGGAGTAGAATATAATTTCGTTGATGAAATCAGTGAAAATTCAATTACTGTTTCACATTATGGAAATCATGAATTTGAGGATTTATTTTACGACATCAATGCAGATTTGTTTTATTATTATAACGGTCGTCAGTATAAAGAACTATACATTAATGAAAACATAAATGGTTCATTATATGTTAACGTTTATGATGTTAATGGAAAAAGAACATGCATTACGTATAGTAAATTCAAACGCTTACATAATTTAATATGAAAAGTTTATTTTTGTCTTGAACGATAAAAATATATTATATCATAAATGACTTCAGAACTTTAATTTCCTTATGAAAGTATTTTTAGTCGTTATTGAAAAGTTAAACTTCTCTTCAAAACAGGGTGCTGTTGATTTGCATAAATCAAATGCGATTTCCTGACCATCGTGAAGGGCTTCATATAATTTCATAACTGAAAACTCACTATCTTTATCATATTTTCCCTGAGGAATCATTAATCCTTTATCTTCATCATAAACGCATTTAACTGCTTCAGGAAACATTTCATTTGCTGTTAAAGCTATAACATCTTGTTTTACGCCTTTCATTCTGCAGTGAAATGCAACTTCATTTAAATCATTAGTGAGTAAGTCAATGTAAGTCTTCTTTCCACAAAATATCGACTTGTAAGCTAAACTTTGTTTATCTTTTGTGATTTCTGCAAAGTCGGAATGGAACTGACCTAAATTCTTTCCAATAAGTTCGCGACCATATCTCTTCTTAAACTCTGCAGCGAGTTTTGGTATGTCTTCATTGTAAATGTGCATCGAATCTGTATCCTGATAAAATGCTTTTAATCCTAAGTCTTCAATCGTGCAAAATACTTCATTCATGATACGTTTCGACATAGATAAGATATTAACACCTAAGGGGCAAAAGTTAAAGTGTCTGCAAATGCTTTTAGTTAGTTTGAAAATAGTTTTATCCGAACCATCTAAACCTTCAAATTTAATGATATGGTTATAATTTCTGATGGCATACCTAACAGCATCTTTATCATCAATGATTTTAATTTTCGACTCTATCGGGGACAAAATAGTTTTTCCATAAATACTGTTCAAAATTAATTTAATATTTTCTTGTAGCGGATTTTCTTCCTTCTTATACTTTAATCTCAATTCAAATAATTTCTTAACTTCATCTCTTATTCTAAAATCTCTTTTTCATCGTAGTAGTAACCCTGTAATACTTCGCAGCTGATGCCCTGATATTTTATTAAATCCTGCAAAGCTATGTGGTCCACATACATTAAACAGCATGTGTTAGAACTTCTTGGAACCTTTAGCTCCGGGTTTAGTTCAGGGTCACAAACTATTAAAAGAAAGTGCCTTTTAATCTTAATCTCGGTTATTTTTATTAAAACAAAGAATCCGGAAATGAATTTCTCACCTTCAGGCTCGCCCTGGTCATCGTCGAATAAATGTTTTAACAAATATTCACTGTTTAACATTTCTTTCTTCATAACCTTTGGAATTCCTTCTAAAGTATAAAGTCTCGCGATAGCGGATGGATATAATGAAACAGCATCGAAGTCAGCAATGAGTTTCTTTTCGCTCTTTTGTTTCTTATTATACATGTAAGAATTATATTTATTAAAAATTTTGAATATATTCAATTTTTTTCTGAAAATTTACGATTATATTCAAAGGTGTTAAAATATGATTCTCCTTTTAATACTTATTTGTAAAAGAATTGATCCAAGCTGTTATTCAATTGATGGGAAAACACTTAATAAAGTTAAAGATCCATCGCCAGATCTACTAATATCAGCGAATTGTGAAAAAATTAGCAAATATTGTTTTTACCAACTCACTACATTGTTTTCTTTTTGTTTCGAAGAAAATCCTAATTTAACAACAATTGAATCAGACAGTTTCGCAGGGTGTTCAAATCTAACTAAAATTAATTTAGGGGTATTATTATTGTCGTCTGGCGGTTTTAGACGACAATGCGAATCTCAGGATTGGATAGTTAGTATGGTTAACTTGGGTACGGCGGCACTGCGTTCCACCTTACCCAACTTAACCTTAAATATTTACAAAACCATCTGACACATAAACGACTTCACTAACGACTTCACTAACGACTTCACTACCGGCCTCACTAAATAAAAATAACCTTATTTCTATTTTTTTAAATTTTTTATTTCATTACAAAGACATGTCTGACTACATTTACTATGACTCTTTCCCAGAACGTTTCCGTGAACTATTCAAAACTCAAGTAAAACTGAGAAACATGCATTTTAACAAAGACAGACCCATTGACGATGAAAGAAACCCTGAATATATTACAATCCCTTATGACGCAAAGTTCATTGCATACATTCCTTATGGTCGCAGAGGAACGAAAACTATTTCAACAAAGAACAAAAATTATTTCTGGAGCGATGAAGAAAATTGCCTTATCTACATAAATGCATACTTAAATAAAGCTACATATTGTACAAAAGAAGGTTTGACTGGATTTGAGCTCTACATATACGACGACGATGGAAACAGACGTTGTGTATACCCATACGATAATATGTACCATTGTTTTCATCAAGCATTAAACGAATACATAGTCAGTAAGGGTCTCATTCCTGCTGAGTAGAAATGCTTTATTTTTGTTCCCACATTTATATAAAAATAAACTTAAAAATAAATGATATCACCACCCTCACACGTATGAAAACATCCATTTAAATTTAGGGTAGAAGGGTAGATCTAACCTCATTTCTACCCTCATTTCTAACCCTGTTGAATTCATTGCTTTATAACTCTCTTCCTTTCTCCAACTCTTCTAACTTCTTCTTAAGTTCAGCAATGTTGTCCTCATGAAGTTTAATCTTCCTTAATTCCTTCTTTATCTAATGGTTGCTTTATCTTTCTAAACTGAACTCTACCATCCTTCATAGTATGAATGTAAAAACCTTCTGGAATAGTTCCTGATTTAATGTATTCTACCAAAAACTTTTGTTTCATTGCTTCAGTGACTTTATTTGTCATTTCAATCAAATAAAAATTTTAATATTAAATAAAAATAACGTTATTTTTTCAGTAAGGAAACGCAGGAGTTTTACGATTTATTTGAGGAGTAGGTTCTGGTTTAAATGTTGGAGTCGGTTTAGGAGTTGACTTTTGAACAGGAGTTTGTACTTCCATAGGTTCAGGAGTCATTGAAGGTTTTGCTTGTGAAGGTGTTGGTTTTGGCGAAGGTGTTGGAGTTTGTTTAACTTCAGCTACTTCAGTATTATTTACAACATTTGCTTTATTTCTTTTCAACATCATAACTGCTCCTGCTGTAGCTAGCAAACCTAGTGGGAGACCATATTTTATATAAGGACTTGACCAAATGCTATTTTTGACAGGAGCTGGTGGAACACCTAACCTTGGTGAGACTGCTCTTTGCCATTGTGCAGCTCGTAAGAAATATTCAATAGGTGCTCCATAATCGTTTGGTAAAGTTTGTTTCATAGATGGTGAAGGTTCACGAGAGCTTGATGAAGAACTCATTTATAAGCTTTAAAAATAAACGTTCATCCTTTATTCCTCACTGTCGTCCGTGCTAAGTTATAGTCATCTAATCTTATTATTGGGATTCCATTAGCACGCACCTGAATGGCAAAGCAACAATCCCTCATAAATCCAATAAGTGGCTTTGGTACGTTTTCAGTTGCTAGTTCAATAGGTCCTTTAACAGACAATTTGTATGTTATTGGAGCAGTAGATGTTTGACCTTGCTGGAAGCAAAAGTCCACTTCTGTTGGAAAACCACATAAGAAATGTGTGTTGTCATAGCTATCCCATTTATGTTCCACACTACCATCATCCACCAATGACCTCATAACATCTTCATTAAATCCAATCATATCATTGTTTGTATTGCAAGCGTTCGCAACCATTTCATAAAATACAGGTCCATATGATTTTTCAGGTTCTGCAGGCATATTTCCATAAGCTCCCATGGAAAGCTGAAGATATTTAAACTTAGGGTTCTCAAAATTAACATAATAGTTGTCTTTCTTTCTAAATAGTGCCCAAATACTTTTAACATTAATAGGCGTATAAGCTGCTGTAAATGTTGCACTTGAACTATCTGTATTCTTTGAGAATGAACCGTCCATAGGAATCCAATCCATAACTTTAACAGGAAAACATAAAGCCTCGTTTGTATAATGTTCTACAAGTTCTGTATAAATGTTAGGGTCTAAAGAGAATGACTTTGGATGAATGAAACATTCATTAAAATCCATCTTTGTTCGAAATAGTTGCTGGGTTACAGTTGTAATAGTAACTGTTCCACTAGCTTCTACTGCCTTCGTTATCATAGTGAATGGTTCATTCCATGGAACAAATTTATTTGTCGGTGGATTTGAATCTGAAGCAAATGCAACTTTAAGAGTTGGATTGAAAGCAATGATATCATTTACAGATATAGATGTGCATTGTAAGGCGTCGCTACTGAACTTTACTTTAAGCTGAATGTTTCCTGCAAAGCTGGAATAAATCGAATAGCTTCTAATGGAAGGAATCTTCTAACAGGAATTCTTAAACGAAGCTTAAAATCAAATGATTTTCCTGCTGTAATTGGACCACTAACAATTTGTCCTGTTCTGCA